AAATAATAAATTAAGATGGGTAGTGTTATTATATTTATATGGGTGGGCTGGAAAGCGGTGCGATGCGCCACATTATCCACACCAATATGTCACATTGCATGCTATAAATTGTTCTCGATAATATTATTCTCCTTGTATTTGTATATGTAAAGATTTATTTCTTTTCACTCGACAACGTGTCATTACTTATACATATAAACGTCGGTATTCAAATGTTTATTTCTTTATCATCATTTTTAAATATTATATTTTTAAAAATTATTTAATTAAAGTCTCTTTTAATGTATCAAACAAATTAATAATTATACTAACAAGTAATATTGTTACGGTAGCCCGTCAAGCTGTTTGATACATATAAATTACAATCAATCTGTGGATGGATTAATATTTTTCATCAAAATATTTAAGGAATGTGACATCGTCGTACGAGAAGTAAAATAATCTCCCTTTGTCAAAACAACATGATATGGTTCTAAACCCTTATGGGTTACGTCATCAAAGAGGGATTTCACTCAAGGTGGGTCCCTCTTATTCTGAACCGAATCCGGCTAAAGTAAGCCTATGAAGCTAAAGAATTCTAGTAGAATTGTAGGGTGAATATTCCTTTATGCTTCACAACTTACGGGGTTTGTATAAAAAATTAAAAAAGAAAAAGAAAAAAAAAGGATCAGGCGATGATCTTAGAGATTATGTGATCGTAATTGTTCATTATTTATCGTACGGTTAGTTTTTGTTAAATATTATTTATATTTTTTTTTTAAAATTTAAATTTTGAAATGATTTCTAACTTCATGATGTACGATGAACCTGGATCCTTTTCCAAAAAAAGGGCTTAAATGTTAAAATGATCGGTCCTTATGTTTATCTTCCTTAGTCAACCAAGAACATTTCCATATAATTTATGTAAAAAAAATTATAAATTAAAGGAAAAATTATTCTTCTACCAACTCTTCGACCTCCTCCCTAACATTACTCCTTCTCTTTTCTATGTCACGACCTTAATCATTTTTTAGATTGGAAGTTTTGTTTCTTTTATATGTTATTTCTCATTGATTTGCATTTTCTGTAAAGAGAAAGAGTAATTATTTCTCATATGATTTTTCTTATGATTTTTTTAAAAGAGATTGAATGAAATGTCCTTAATTGGCTATCAGAGACAAACACATACTAAATTGTCCATATAACTATAACACATTGACTATTTTGACATTTAAGCTAAAAAACAATTAAAAGAAAAAAGCAACTTATTGGTTTAATATTCAATAGGTGTAGTGTGTGGACTATATCTAAATAGACCAGTCATTTTACTATATACAATATTTATTGTTAAAATTTAAAGTTTTCAAATTATTTTTATTAATTTTATTTATAAATTACCATCAATCTGTGAATAGATTAATATTTTTCATCAAAATATTTAAGGAATGTGACATCATCTTTCGAGAAGTAAAATACTCTCCCTTTGTCAAAACAACATGGTATGCTTCTAAACCCTCTTGGGTTACGTCATCAAAGAGGGATTTCACTCAAGGTGGGTCCCTCTTATTCTTAACCGAATCCTGCTAAAGTAAGCCTATGAAGCTAAATAATTATCGTAGAATTGTAGGGTGCATATTCCTTTATGCTTCACAACTTATAGGGTTTGCATAAAAAAAAGAGGAAAAGGATTCGGCAAATGATTCTGGTTATTCCATTATTGTGATTGTTCATCGTATATCGTACGGTCAGTTTTTGTTAAGTATTTATATATTTTTTTAAATTTAAATTTTGAAATAATTTCTGATCGCACGATGTACGATGAACCGTCACGATTATAGGATTTTAGGATCCTCTTCCAAAAAAAGGGCTTAAATGTTAAAATGATTGGTCCTTATGTTTATCTTCGTTAGTCAACTAAAGACATTTTCATTTAATTTCTGTAAAAAAAATTATAAATTAAAAGAAAAATTATTCTTCTGCCAACTCTTCGACCTCCTCCTTAACATTATCCATTCTCTTTTCTATGTCACAAACTTAATCATTTTTCAGATTGGAAGTTTTATTTATTATATATGTTATTTCTCATTGATTTGCACTTTTCTGTAAAGAGAAAAAATAATTATTTCTCATATGATTTTTCTTATGAATTTTTTAAAATAGATTGAATGAAATGTTCTTAATTGGTTAGCAGAGACAAACATGGACTAAATTGACCATATAACCATAACACATGAATCATTTTGACATTTAAGCCAAAAAAACAATTAAAAGAAAAAAGCAACTTATAGGGTTAATATTCAACGGGTGTAGTGTGTGGACGGTATCTAAATAGACCAGTCCTTTGGTAGGGTAAATTTACCCCCCGGATCGATACATAAAGTCTACCCAAAATAATTTAGTACTGTATGATTTAGAATTTGACTGGAAATAGTATGCCTATCCTCAATTATTTTAGGCTAAGAAAAGAAGAACTGTGCAACGTCATCTACATCATGACTCATGAAGGTGGGGTTACGATACGAATTTCATTTTCATTACTCATGCTCTACCTTGTCTTTGTTGACAAGTTATTGTTGTTAATCATTATTGTATTTTCTTGGAAAATTCCTTCGACTTCTTCTTGAGAATATGAGAAGGAGAAATGAATGGATGATCGCCGAAACTTGTATAAATGCTCTTTAAACGTCTGATTGCAAAAATTTTAAGGTTTTCAATTTTAAATTTAATTAAATTTAATTAAACCAGACTAAAGTCGATGATTCAAAAATTTGATTTCCTTGCTTTTGAAAATTGTGCGTTTGTAAAACAAATAAGGTGGTTCGTTAGATCATAGTGTGTTTGTGATGTCTTTGACAATGAAGGGAGCAAAAGTTTATCCTTGTAAAAGATAAGAAGGGAGTAAACCCTAATTTGATTCTTTTTCAGGATTAGACTGAAAATATGAGTTTAAATATTCAATCATATGGATCTTTGAAAGAAATGAGATGTGATTGGATAATAATATAAAATATTCGCTACAATTAGTTACTGAAACTTTCCATCAATTCTTTGATTAAGGATTAACCATTGATTAGATTATTAACAAATAAGAATACCGAATATTTTGAAGGAATTTACCATTTTAGTAGAACAAATCACGCTTTTTGCTAAACTTGGAGGCGTAAAACGCAAGCAAAAAGCTTGATGTGTAGACCCGGGAGCACCAGATTCTAACAGGCAAACATGTAAACTCCCTCCGGCAATTGCAAAACGTCGACCCTTTACAGCAGGGAGTCCTCATGGCTGCCCCTGGTAAAGTGAACCCTCGCGTTTCTCGCCCACGCCTGCAAATAATACGAGGTTTTGCCAGCTGACGGCCAATCCCAGCAAGCGTTATGGCGCGTGCAACAGGGATGAGCGTGGTTCTATGATTTCGGCCGATCGGTGATCTTTTTCAAGTAAGAAAAAGTGAGGAATGATTACGTCACCCGTGGGTGGTGCGTTACGGGATTTGCATTTAATTTCTTAATCACTTCCTGATCGGAATGAAGCCCTGGATAATTCAAGGCTTCAATACGCGTTTAATACACTTGTTGCCTTTTGTGAATTGTGACTTTGTGTGAGAGGGAGCCACAAAAAAGTTTCAAAAGATTCTATTTGTGCAATTGTGAATAATTTAATTTTATGACGTAAATAATTAGGAACTTTAAAGAAAAGTTTCGGTATTGTTCAATCAAACGAAAAATCACATGTTTACACTAAAAAGTCAATCATGATACTATTCACTTTACTTTTTATTTTGTGTTTATCGTTAAAACTCAAAGTTTTCAACTTATTTTCATTAGTTTTTCTTAAATAATTTGCTTTTCCAAATATGAATCAATCCATATCAGTTGAGGATTGATATAAAAGCAATTTCTGCCCACTATGTTGTTGCTGAGGTTCTAAGTTTGAATACATACATAGCCACTAAATTAGACGCATTTGTTTGGTGGTCACTTAGTTGTGATAAAATATTTCGGTATGATCATTGCATCACTATGCAATTTTATAATTTACTCATGTTATAATCCATATTTTATTTATTTATTAACACGATAATACTTAAAATATAATGACACTAATAGTATTATGTGACGGTCGTTTCTACGTAAATTTCTAATTGGCTATTGTTGTCAAAAGAGTGTAACCATTCATTTTGTGCGTTCATAATCATTTTAGAGCAAGCTCAACTATTTTTTGTCAAAGAGAATTTTGAACCACATTATTATTAGCTTATATGATATTTGGTTTATTTTCTCACCCTCTTAGTATAAATAAAATCGTTTGTTTAAAAAATAGAAATAGTCAAGGGCTATGGGATTGGACATTCAATATGATTTTCATAGGACTACTGTGAGTTTGGGTGCAGCAGATCCCACATGAGCTTCCTCAGGTCGATGAGAAATTTTTCAATGTGACTGACATACGAGTTGGTACATCACGTGTCACTATACAAATGATGAGATATGTGTGTTAAAAATTTAATAACTTAAAAAATAAAAATTTTCACCACTTACATAATAACATGTGATGTACCACTCGTGTTCTTATCATAATTAAAATTTTCTTCTCATGGACCCTAACTGGAACCAATCAGTTTACTAGCTGTCAACCCATCTGGACTAGTACACAGTTTCATTTCCAGCTTGGCCTTTTCCCCACAATTCCCTCCCTCTTTCCCTCCTCCCCATAAAAAAGTTCACAATTTTATTATTACCTAACATTATTAATCCAAATAATTAACCCAAAACCCCCTTTTTAGTACATTTTCCAAACAAATAAACTAAATTAATATTTAAAAAATAGACGAAATATACAAAAAAAATTAAAAAAAGAAAAAGCAAACAGCTGGAATATTGAGGAGAGCAGACCAGGTGTGGAGTAACTATAAGAGCATCCACTCCCCATTCGTCAGCCCCTCTTTTTCTCTCTCCTCTCTTTCTCCGCCCCCAAAAGGAGAAGAAGAGTGAAATTATAAACCACCACCACCCACCAAAAAACCCCCACAATACTCTCTCACTCACTCCACTCCTCCGCCGCTATGGACCCATCACCAGCGGCGCCCCCGCTGCAATCCCACCACCTCAACTACGCCGACTCCCTCGACTCTTCCCCTCGCTCCCGCAACACCGACTCATGGGACGAGCCTCAACCCCCCACCACCAGGCTCCGCCTTATGTGCAGCTACGGCGGCCACATCGTCCCCCGCCCCCACGACAAGTCGCTATGCTACGTCGGAGGCGACACCCGAATCGTCGTCGTCGACCGCCAGACCTCCCTCTCCGACCTTTCCGACCGTCTCTCCAAGACTCTCCTCAATGGCCGACCCTTCACCCTCAAGTACCAGCTCCCCAGCGAGGACCTCGACTCCTTAATCTCCCTCACCACCGACGAGGACCTCGACAACATGATCGACGAGTACGACCGCACGGCCAACCACAGCGGCGCTTCGTCCAAACCCTCGCGACTCCGTCTCTTTCTCTTCCCCCTGAAGCCCGAGTCGTCGCAATCGATGGGGCCCATTCTCGATATTTCAGCCAATAAGTCCGAGGACTGGTTCTTGAACGCGCTCAATGGCGCGTCCGGTATGCTCAATCGGGGCTTCTCCGACTCCGCCTCCGTCAACTGCTTGCTGGGTCTCGACGACGATTCGATTTCCGGCGGTGCTGCCAATAATTTGGACTCCGGTTCGAGAGACGTCGAGGTTTCGGTTCCTGCGAATGGCAAGAATGCCAAACAGGGCGGAGGTGCCGGCGGTGGGAACGGGCAGGACGTTCAATCTGTCCCCGATTCGCCGATGCTTGAGAACTCCTCATCGTTTGGGTCCACGTCATCGTCGCCATTGCTTGCGAACTTGCCGCCGATTCGGGTCCACGTGGAAGATGGCGGCGGCGGTGGAGGTGGAGGCGGGATTGGAGTGCAGGATCAGAAGATGGGGATTGAAGAGCAGTTTGCTCAGATGACTGTTGGTGGTGGTGTTGGGCAGAAGCAAGACGACGGTGCTTTCGCGGTCCTTTCATCGCCTCCTCAGATGCCCACTACCATCGTGGCATCCGCCGCGCCGCTGAGCACGGCCACCAATTACTTGAATCGCGTAGTTTCGGACGATGAGCGATCCGATCACGGCGCCCCAGCTGGTTACCGGAAACCAGCGCCACCGCAGCCTCAGCTTCAGCCACTGACTCTGCCTCCTCAGTCTCAGCAGCCCAAATCTAGTGGCGTTATTGATTTGCCCTCCCCAGATTCAGTTTCAAGGTATGCCTAATTGTTCTCAATAATTAGCCTGATTAGTCATTTAGAACTTCTGTTTTTAGTAATCTGATTGTTTAAATTGCTCTTAAGTTGTTGTTTGGGGTGATGATCAAGTGATTAATTGGGGGTTATAATTTCAATTCTGCAGTGACAATAGTTTATCAAATGCCATGTCTCGCCCAAAACCTGTAATTTATCAAGACCCAGTAGTTCAAATCCCCTCTGCAAACGCCAGGTTTCCGGCAAACCTCGTTGATCCGAAATTAAATCTTTCCGATCCAACCACTCGGATTCAGATGCAACAACAGGTACACGATTCTGGGTACGTTTTGCAATCGCAATTCGATCATCATCAGCAGCAGCAGCAGCAACAGCAACACCACCAGCAACAAGCACAACAACAACACCACCAACAACAAGCACAACAGCAACACCACCAACAACAAGCACAACAGCAACACCACCAGCAACAAGCACAACAACAACACCACCAACAACAAGCACAACAGCAACACCACCAACAACAAGCACAACAACACTACCAACAAGCACAACAGCAACACCACCAACAAGAAGCACAGCAGCCACATCAATTTATACACGCTGGAACACATTACATCCAGCACCACCCAGGTTCGGTCCCCATTCCGGCGTACTACCCGGTGTATCCGCCCCAGCAGCAACAGCACCACCATCATCATCCCCAGCTTGATCAGCAGCAGCAGCAATACCAAGTTTATTACATGCCTGCGAGGCCGCCACAACCTTACACTACTTTGCCAGTTGAGCAATCAAATATCAGTGATTCTGCCACTCCTATTCCTTCAAGCCACTCCCAAACGCCTCCTAATCCTGCCATTTCCTCATCCGCGGCTTACAGCCAGATGAGGAATGCCCAAATTGTCAAACCAGAAATGGCTGCCCCAGCAGGGGTGTACAGAACGGCAACCACAGCAGCTCCACCTCTTGTTCAAGTCCCTTCTGCTCAGCATCAGCAGCAATATGTCGGCTACCCCACCCAAATTCACCATCCGTCCCAATCGGCCGTTCCTTCTTCCGGGGGTAATGCCAGTTATGCCTATGAATATGCTACTGATCCCTCTCATGCGCAGATATACTACACACAACCTCTGGCGCCCTCAATGCCTTCTCAGTACCAAACTATGACATCTGCGGCCGCCAGGGTGCTGCCAGAAGTCTCTGCTCAGCTTCCCACCGACAACATCAAGCAGCAGAGATGAGGGAAGTGAACAATGCCTGGAGAAGGAAACAATTTTGGGAAAGTGGGAGGCTTTGGTTTTTATGTTTAAAGTTTATTTATCTGTTTCTAGAGTCTTTGGCTTTGGTATTGGTATAATTGGTTATGGTATGTATTTGTGATAGATAATAAGGAAACTTTGGTGGTCGTCGTCGTCGTCTTCTTCTTCTTCTTTCTTGTAAGGTCACATGGTTGCTGCTCCATTGCCGCCGCCGTCGTCTTCATGCAAGAGAAGTGGATAGGAATATGAAAAGATGGTCTCTGGGATTATAGTTATATACTGTAAAAGCTGGAAAACTCAACCAAACATAAATATTGTGTGCTTGTGCAGATCGGGTTTCTGAATAAATGTTTTATAAGTAACAAACAGATTTCTGTTTATATTGTGTTGCTTAGTAGATATTTGATGAGCATGACATACATGTTTCGTCGCTCAATTGCAATTTCTCAGCAGAAGCAAGCCACTGCAATTGCAGTTTTGTGATGAGAGGGAGAGGGAACATTTCTGCTCTTAAGTGCTTTTGTTACAAGTAATTTGATGGTTACTGTTGGCATAAATTCAGCTGCGACTTCTTCCTCGAGTTCTGTCAGGATTGCGACTCGATGAAGAGCTTTACAACCGCATTGCCCTTCTTCACTCACGGAATATTCTCGAATTGGGTTTTTCGCCCATTGTCAAGATTCCCCATTACTAACCCCCCGAGTCCGGGTCGTATCTCAGTCCAATTGCCACTAATTTTCCTCCACAAACTAGGGTCGCTTTTAACTTTTAATCGTTATTATCTTGTCAAACATATTTAGAAACGTTTTTTTTATTGTTAAAAAGCACTTTACAAAAACGGAGCCCTTAGTGATCCATTTCCCACCACTCCATTTCAAAACAAGCCCTGGCTAATGAATGTTAATTTGGATATATCCCCACCAAATGATGTAGAATTTGGCTTTAAAGTTAATGGAATCTGGTGGGATGGGGACACAAATCTTATGTGGAATTGTGTAACATCAATCGACAATGACATTTGATGTTGTCAAAATTTGAAAACTTTGGCTCCCAAAACAAACAAACAAAAAATAAAATAATGTCGACCAAAAGAACAAAAACATAAAATCCACCACAATCATCTAATCTCATCAGATCGAAATTGACCCCTAGCAAAAAGTGCATGATATTCGGCAGATCACAGTGACACAGTGCGTTTTAGATTCTTCTTGTTTTGATTTAACCTAGTAATTAATGTGTTAATTAGTAATTAAACGGCCGGCATTAGTACGAGGTTTGTGGTTTGATTTTGGGATGGGAGAGCGATTACTGAGTTACTTGTACTATTATGATTATAATTTAAGTTGACACATGGTGCCAAAGTTGTTGTTTTCACTCCAGTCCAAGCAAAGACAAGTAGCTCAATACTTTTAGCAGTAGTTTGTGATTGCTAAAATAACTGATTGAAGTAGACGTGAGTTAGTTTGAGATAAGAGAATATGTTCAGCCATCCTTATCTTTGAATTCTACTTCTCTACCCGTAGTTGAGATTGGAATAGCGCATTTTGCGATGAATATCAAGCAAGTCCATATAGAAAGAGGGAGGGACCATGGAATTTGACGCTCTCAATATTCAATGTTCAACATGAAGAATATGTGAAATATCGTATTTTGATTCCCAGTTTGGCAGATGGGGCATAACTATTTATTTGTGAAGGAGAAAGGTCTGCCAGAAGAAATTGGCGCCATCAATTCATCATCTCATGTCGCATTCATATACAACAAGAATCCTTTTGTTTTGGAATTCGATTTGGATTTGATCCGATTTGCAATGGCTCCCACTAGAGGAAGAGATTTATTTGATTTTTACTTAGTATCATGCAAAGACAATAATGTGGATTGAGGGGCCCACTATTTTCAAAAATGTTGTTAGATCAACTCATTTAGATTTAGTCGAAATTAGAAAAAAAATCAAAAGTTTGAAATTTGCAATGGTTTCGGCAAATTTTATGTAGTCAATCGGTAAATATCATTAATATTCATTTGATTTTTCTATATCCAATGTTTAAATATGTAAAAATTATCGATATTTCCGTTGAAATGTTCAAAAATCGGATAAATATGAAAAGAGAAACTTATTCTCGTACCGGCAAGATGTAGGAAAATTAATAATTATAGATGACATCTACCAATTCACTACAGAAAATTGCCGCAACCTATATCTCGCCGATATAAGGTGAAGTTTCCTTTTCACCCCCTTTTCATATCGAGTTTTAATTTTTCAAATGTTTCGATGGAAAAATCGACAATTGTGTAGATATTTTAAACACGAGTATCACTAACCCACCTGTATTAAATAGTGCTTCAACAAAGTTGCGTGTCTAAATAACATTTCTCGCTCTTACATTAGAATTGGTAAATTAATATTGGCCCTTACAAGAATTATTTTACATCTACAAAAAACGATAAATACGGTCAGTTAATGTTAACCTCGAAGACTCTCACACATTGATCTGCCCCGCAAGAAGCGAGCTGAAAGCTACCGGAATCTTCATTCTTGCAGTTTCTCCATGCCAAACGGTTTACAGCAGAGACATGGCACATCAACGGATCAAGCCGTACGACAAGGGAAGCAACTGCGCCTGCTACTCCAGCATCAGATCTTTTAACGGAGAGATTCCACAATTCAATGAGTCCGTTTTCCATTCCAACTGCAAGGAGCCCATCGTTGCTCTTGCGATCAAGACCGATCCAAGATAGGGCCATGACGCTGCTACTGAACTGGGGAAGAGTCGTGAGCAGCTTCACCAAAGATTCATTTTCCACTGTCCAGATCTTCACTGTCTTGTCCCTCGAGCCTGTGGCAAATTCGTAGCCGTGTGGATTCCAAGAGCATGCCCATATGATTCTTTTGTGTGCCTCCTGCTTCGCTACGAGCTGGTAACTAATTTCATCGGTGCCTAAACAGAGATATCAGAAGAACTATGTATCACGGAAAGTCTTAGCAATCTTTTGACAGGTGATAACTTGGTAACAGTGAAAGTACCTAGCTTAGGGAAGGGATCTGGAGAGGATCCCTTCCTCCTAATCCACCAAATTAGGGAATCCGTGCCATTGAAATTTGATCCAATAATAACTTCAGCCATTGGATCAATTTTCAACGGTACGAATTCCCTGATTTGGTGGATTAGGAAGAAGGGATCCGAAGAGGATCCCTTTCCCCTAGCTTAAACTAAAGCGTACCTGCTTTATCGATTGAAAATACGGAGAACTGGCGATCCCTTGATACCGCCAACAGGAATTTGTCATCATGAGAGAATTCCATTTGTGTCACTGTCAAAGTATGACTCTGCAAGCGACCAACTGCTTTCCATGAACCAATTTGCCATAGCCATATTTCTGCTACCGCTGCTGATTGGGCCTGCAACATAATCATTGTTTAGTACAACAATAACTTATGAAACAAGTTATTCTTGTTACGCCTTACTTTCAAATGATTTACAATTCTTTCGGTACTATCAAATAATTTCCTCCAATCTATCCACCAGTCTAAGTCCGATCCATTCTCTAGAGCAATGTTTTGCCTAAGAAATTTTTAAGATTATCCATGTTTCCGTTATTATCACAGCAAGTACAATGACTCCACATACCTTACATGAAGAAGCAACAAGCTTCCCGTCATGATCACTGCACAGAGCAAACAGTTCATTCCCATGACCGTAAAGTTTGTGCGACTCTGGCCATAGTGTATGCCATGCCAGTTGATCTTCAATGGGAGGTTCAGTCAACACAACTGGAACTGCATCAGGAATGGTTTCAAGTGTGTCGAGGCCATCTTTCACATTCTTGTCTGGGGTATGCTGCTCAGCTGACAAAAAGAAACAAAATCAATAAATAAATTAAGCCCTTAAAAACTATTCCTAATTTACAAAACTTGATTGAGAAAAAAAAAAAAGAATGATACTTGCTAGAAAAACCACATTAATATTAGAAAAGAAGGAAGGGCGAGAGGAGAGAGAGTTACCGTGAACATAAATAGGTTTCTGTGATAGCCCAAGAGCAGACATATTTGCACCCAAAATCTGAACACCAACTTGGAGATCATCTGCAAAGTTAGACGTTTGTGAAATGGCATGACCCAATGTCTTCAAGAAAGACAAAGGAGCTTCAAACACTCTGGCAACTTTCTCATCAGCTCCGCTGACAAATCGATGGTTCCCTTTTCCTTGGATGATGGCCACACAGCTAATATCATGACCATGAACTTGAGGGCGTGCAATTTCATGCCAAGACTCCTCATCCCTAGGAGACGCCTCATTTTGCCAAGGAGCAAAAATTCGAGTTGTCTGATCATGACTGACTGAGAGCAAGTATTGACCAGACCTTCCCCATGCAATATCTGTTATTGCTGCAAAATGGCCAGATGGAACCTTTTGTGGTTGCCAATTTTCATAGTCAGTGCCGACATTTTTCCAAAGATGGAAAGATCCACCATATCCATGTACTAATATTGAATCTCCATTAGGGCTCCAGTGGCCGCCATAAAACCCTAGAGCACAATGACTTAATTCTCCAACAGTAACAACATTCATCCAGATACCGGATGTCTTTTCAGGTTTCCAAATCATCATTGTCTTGTCCATAGATGCAGATAAGATGCTTTGGGGTTGACAGTAGGCAATCCCTTCGGAAGATGCATTTGATGGGGGTTGCCACTCCACTGAATACACCCAATCTTCATGTCCAATTAGAAGAGATTCCAACGATACCTGATATGATGTTGTGCCGGCTATAAGTACAGGGCCTTCGATATAAGATGCTAAGCTCACTTTTTCTTTCCGGTAAGCACTCTGGTTGCTGTCCAAAGACCCCTTTAAAGCCATCTTCCAAATGCGTATGCCTCTGTCTTGAGATGAACTAACAAGTAGAACATTGCTTGCCTCACCATTGGTGCACGTAGGTAATGCGAAATCCAGACTTCTGATCCAATCTGTATGCCCTTTCAACTCGCACCCTTTAACAAACTACATGTACATATGAAAAGAATTCAAAACTTATTTAAGGCACAAAAATGTCAACAACCAAAAAAAAAAAAAAAAATCAGAAAATTGATTAATATAATGCTACCTTTCCTCTCCTCTCCCCGCTGTAAAGGTGAATTTTGTTATCTAGTCCTCCCATTGCCAGGATTAAGTGCCCAGTACTTCCAGGCAACTCTGATAACGAAAGCGCTACCATGGGTTTTGTACCAACGGAGAGAGAATCCAGATGCAACAGTTCACAGTCACCTAGAAAAACTCAGAAAAGTCATGTTTCCAATTGATTTTGAAATTCTTTCATTTGATGTGAAGGGAGAACTTTTGGCTGTATCATTCATTACAAAAACATGATATTTTTGTGCTTTAGAACTGTTAAAACTTTTATATAATGGTTGTTTCAAATCCATAACATGAACCTAAGTAGATCGATTTAGGGAAGAGTTCGAAGGAATGGTGTTGCCACTTCATGACCTGTCTTGTACCCCTTCTTTGACATTGTCAGTAGAATCAAATGTGTAGAACTAAAGCAAATCAACTTAGATATCTATAAAACTTATGAAAGTTAACAATTTGACTTAGTCCACTGAATTTTGGGCTCACCTCCACTAGATGATGGAAAAACAACCTCCCATATATAAACGGTACTATCGGAAGACGTAGAGGCAAAGATTGCCTCAGTTTGAGAAACCATAATTCCAGTAATGCATGTGACACCCTTCTTGTGCAACTGAGGTAGCTGTTGCACATACCCCCACTGTAAAGGAAAAGCAAACAGAGTCCATGAAGATAACACATTTCAACAGAAAACAATTCTTTCAAATATATTCGCAACTCAGACACAACTAACTGATTAAGAAGTAATCAGACTTCCGAAAACTGAAATAAGTAACGAACCCTCCAACTAGCTAAGAGACATACGAGAGGGCCTAAAAACTACAACCTTTCACACAGTTTTAGCTAGCTAGAACCCTCCTACTAGCTAAGAAATAAATAAGAGGACCTAAAACTACAACTTTTCACACAGTTTTAACTAGCTATTCGCTACATTCATTCAACAATTCAATGCAACCTACTGTACTGATAAGTTTCGAAGGAAACTTTAAGAAAACACCAACAAAAATAATAAGATTTGCAATAACACGAACACCGGCAACGACAAGAGTATACCTTTCCTTCAAGAACAGAGAACTCCCACAAAATAATTGCACCAGAAGCATCTCCAGAGAGCAAATAATGCCGGTCCAAGTGTTTAGCTGTGGAAATCCGGCAAAATCTAGTCAGAAACCCAAATAACAACTTAAAAACAGTAAATTTGAATTCAGAAAACACTAAAAATACTCTCTTTTTTTCTTCACTTGTTTCAGAAAAATCCCAAAAAGTACCTCTATATGCAAACTTGTTACTTGGGAGCCAATGGGTGCAATTCACAGCAGCCTTGTGACCCGGAAGAGTAGTCCAAATTTGAGCTGTCTGCAGCCATTTTTGTAAAATAAAAAAAATTAAATAAATAAATTAGTTTGAATGGAAAACTGGGTTCATAAAGGGGAGATAGAGAGAGAGAGAGAGGACCTTCGGATTAAAGATAGCGACGGCGTTTTGGGCACCGAAAGCAACCAAATCACAAGCACCCCACGAGACGTTGTTGACGATTCTGTTGCAGCCTGCTCCTATGAACACTCCCTTCACGCCAACCCCACTCCCTCCTCCGCCACCATCTCCGCTAGACATGGTGGAAGAACTGGCTGTGGTTTGGCAGATAGACGGCGGCTTCAGCCTTCAGGTGTTGGAAGCTCTCGTTCTGCTTTTGCTGGTCCGGGAAAAAGTGAGAGAAAGGAAGAAAGGAATTTTTGGGCCGGAGTTAGAAAAATGGGCCGAGGCCCAAAATCAAAGACTTACTTATTGGGCCTAAAAACGATATATCAAGGCCTGTTACGCTTGGTAAAGTATACAGGCGAAATGTTCAACGCCACACTTCACCGTCTCAACTGCTTCTACCGAGAAATATTCAAACTGAAATAACCGAAAAAGACCAAACTTCAGATGGCGGCAATCCAGTACGACATTCGCTGCGCGCTTCTCCTGAATCATCACGCATCGTCGTTATCATCACCATCACCATCGTCATCCACGTCATCGCCGTCGTTATCCACCATTAGGTCCCTCAGCCCCACCCTCCTCGGCTCGCGCGCCTCCGGGGCCCGTCGAGTCCTCTCGCTGTCGACCTCGTGCTGGACGACGTCGTTCCGGCTCAGAGCCTTCTCCACCGACCCAGGAGAGGCCGACGCCATCAAACTTCCGGAGAAGCCGTCGATATGCACGGCCGATGAGCTCCACTACGTGTCCGTGCCGAACTCCGATTGGAAGCTCGCGCTCTGGCGATACCACCCGTGCCCCAAGGTACTAAATTTACTTTTTAAAAAGGAATTTATTTCTGTTCAATTTTAAAATTATGATTTAAATGAATCAATTTTTAGAAATAAATACTTATAATTTACGAGAAATTGAGGTTGAGTGAGTGTTTAATGAAACAGGCGCCTCAGAGGAAACATCCATTGCTGCTATTGTCAGGAGTGGGGACCAACGCCATTGGATATGATCTCTCTCCTGAGGTAACATTACATTTGCATGAAATAATTGTTATTAATCTCTCAATTAATCGTTTAATTAATGTATCTAATTAAAAAAAAAAAAAATCATTTTTCTTGTTCTTGTTAAAATGTTGTTAATTTGTAGCCAGATGATAGAGATAAATTGTAATGAATCTCAAATTTACGACTTTATTCTTAATTTTTGCAAAAGAACACTAGAAGGAGTGAGTTTTCAATGTCAATGTGTGCATTTGACTTGGTTTATTTGTGATTGCTGATGGAATGTGGCATATCTGCAGTCTTCGTTTGCGCGTTACATGTCTAGGCAAGGATTCGAGACCTGGGTTCTCGAAGTTCGTGGTGCTGGACTGAGCGTGCAAGAATCGGATCAAAAGGAAATTCAGCAATCTGCCCATGAAAGGTCTGAAGAGATGGAAGCTGTTTCTGAGAGTGCAACTGATGCAGCTTTTCCTGCTGCCTCAGCACCTGAGACTCCTGCTCAGGAAGCAAAAGATGAAAATTCAGCTTCTAAGAGTGCAACTGATGCAGCTTTTCCTGCAGAAAAGCAGTCAAATGGTTTTCCTGTTGCCTCGGCACCTGAGACTCCTGCTCGAGAAGAAAAACATGAGAATTCTTCTTCTAAGAGTGCCACTAATGGAGCATTTTCTGCAGAAAAGCAGTCTGGTGCCTCAGCAACTGAGGTTCCTGCTCAAGGAGTGATTTCAGCTTTCAGTGGAGACGTTACAAATATAGTAACTGTAGGGGATGAATCAAAATCAGTGACAAAGTTGACAGAAACTTTTACGCAGCTGTCAGAAAGAATTTCTGGCTTTCTCAGTGAAGGTCAATCGACGATCATGGCTGCTAAGTTGCTTGACCAAATTTCAAAACTGTTCGCTGGTTCTGCATTATCCGAGCGTATTAATGAGATAAGCTATAAGATTTCAGGCCTGTTAGAGACAAGACAAAACTCAAGTATTGCTAGCCAGATCAAGGACCTCAGTCAAAGGCTTGTAAATATCATTGAAGAGGGTCAGCGATCGGTTTCACCTCCATTGTTTGACTTGCAAGAGCGTTTAAATTCTACGCTGGAAGATTTCCAGAAACAACTTGAATTGATGGTGAAATATGATTGGGACTTTGACCATTACTTGGAAGAGGATGTACCTGCTGTGGTGAGGTGACAATTTATATTGATGGAAGGCTATCATATGATTGCCCTTTCTGAATTTAGTCTTTAGAAGAAGCACAATTTGGATTACACACAGTACCTCTTCTATTATATTGAATCAAATAGTTTTCCTTCCTTTTACATGATGAATTTATAGTTTTCAATGTTAATTTACAGATGGACTATATAATGGCAGAAAGTAAGCCAAAGGATGGGAAGTTGTTGGCTATTGGACACTCGATGGGTGGTATATTGCTTTACGCAATGCTTTCACGATGTGGTGAGATTCCCTTTTTTCCCCATGCATTTCCTTTTCTTTATTTGCCTTTTGGGTGGAATTCGCTGCTCTATGTATTATTGTTGATACTTGATTGGTTGAATACCGGTTATTCACGTGCTGTTTTCCTACCCCTCACGCGGTGTTCTAATGTGTTATTTTCTTTCCCCAGTACAATTGAGTCCGGTTGAGTGTTATGAATTTTTTTTCTTAAGAACTTGCTTAAATACTGATAGCAGATTTGATTGAATGCTTCCAGTTTTGGTTCCTTGATATGCTTTGGTACCATTTTCATTTCGTAAAACTTTGTAAGAAACGCTCCAGCATATGAGTCTGATTCCTTTATTTATTTCATCTTTCAGGTTCTGAAGGAAGAGAGTCCCAATTAGCAGCTGTTGTAACATTAGCGTCATCACTTGATTACACATCTTCAAAGTCAACTCTCAAACTGCTCACACCCCTTGTAAGTGGATGCAGAGTTGCGGTAGATCATCTCTAAATTAATTACAATGAATGTGTGATTGTTAGTGTAGCTTAAACATTGTTAAGGAACTAATGTTAAGGAACTTGTCATGCAGGCTGATCCCGCCCAGGCTCTCAATGTGCCAGCTATTCCTTTAGGAAGTCTACTGGCAGCAACGTATCCTCTCTCAAACCGTCCTCCTTATGTTTTCTCTTGGCTCAATAACTTGATTTCAGCAGAGGACATGATGCATCCAGAGTTGTTGAAAAAGCTTGTTTTGAATAACTTTTGTAAGCATTCCTCCCGACACGATATACTTTGTCAATTTCATTCGAGAAATTCAACAAGTCAATCATGATGGGTGGTTATTTAAAAAGTTGTTGCTAGAGCCACTCTTCATGGATGTCTCTAACTGATTCATCAAGAAGTCAACCATTAGTGATTCTGTGCTTTTTTCAAATGACAGGCACCATACCCGCAAAACTTCTTTTGCAGTTAACAACAGCTTTTCGGAAGGGTGGATTACGTGACAGGAGCGGTGCCTATTTGTATAAGGATCATATAAACAAAAGTAGTGTCCCTATTTTGGCACTTGCCGGAGACCAGGATCTAATTTGCCCACCTGAAGCGGTTGAAGGTAAAATCTCAGCATAGATGGCTTATATTTTCTCTAAAGTTTCTGTGATTCGCGCTTATGATACTTTGGTGAACCAGAAACCGTGAAGCTGATTCCACAGCACCTGGTTACATATAAACTCTTCGGACAGCCTGGTGGTCCACACTACGCTCATTATGATTTGGTCGGAGGAAAATTGGTACGAAGTTTTCTTCTCTCTCCCTCCCTCTCTTATGGTACCATAATGTGACGTTCTCAATTGATACATATATATATATGTTTCTGAACTACAGGCAGTGGAGCAGGTCCATCCATGTATAGTCGAATTTCTTTGTCAGCACGACTCAACGTGAATACCAAAACCATGAAACTTAATCCCTTCAATTTGTTACGGGAGTAAGCTTGATTTCACAAGCAGCTTGAAAGGTTTTTAGGTTTTTATACAACAAAACACAGTTCATCACCTTCAACATTTTGTCAGCAAGGAGTAAAGTAGTGAATACGAAAAATTATTGTATGATACTGGAATATAGTTACGTGGTGCAACCAAGTTATGGATTGCAAACCCACGTGGCCGTATATCAATCTCTTGTTTTCTTAGATTCTTCAGTATGAGTACCATCGAAAGTGTTTTATTTCATAATTTTCATTAGTCTCTTTCTCATCACGTGACCTTCCGCAGTTTCAGTAGCATCTTTTATCAATAAATTTCATGGGGCGGTGGAAAAACAAGTAAGGAGTTGAGAATCTTATTATCTGAAAGCTTCATGTCTTGTATTTTAGAGGGCATGCCGGAGTGGGTTGTAGGGCATTGGTGTTCCCTCGAAAAGTAACAATCGTGGAATTTAACAGAAGTTGGCCAACAAATAGAACTAGAGCTTTAGAACTCATTTGGAAGCGTTTTTAAAATGACTGCAAACGTTTTTGATGAAAATGTGTTTAAAACCAATCTTTAGTAAAAATGCAAGTAAATTTTAGAAAAACACTTAAAAGTGCTTCCTGGATGACACATAAACTAGTGTTTCTTGCAAAAAATACTTCAAGTGCTTTTAGAACTTAGAAATATTTTTTTCTAAAAGCGCTTTCAGTCATACAAAGATTGGAGTGAAATTCATTTTCTTATAACTTTTAATTGACTGTTTTATTGTATACATGCAGCAATTTTGTAGTAGATTTCAGATGCAGCCAATAACAAGAGAGTTTCGATAATACCATGGTGTCGAAATGAACACGTATACATGCATGTTTTTTAATTCGTTATAAGTTCGTCGAATCAGCTGATGAATCGATCTCCTGCGTCCGATTTCTGTTGAATTCCGACCTGAAATTTCAAACCCTTAATCTGTAGCAAGCTTGGGTTGCAGAATCTAACCAATGCTGTCAGAATCACAGAGACCATCCCTTGTCGTTGGGGTGTTTTGTTCCTAACTTGTACCTGCACGTTTTGTAGCAGCACAAGTAGATAAGCAAACACAAAACTGAATGATTGGTAATGGAAGCAGACTCTCAGTCTTCCATGTTACAATGTCTACTCACTACTGCTTCCGGTATAAATATGTGAGTATACATACATGTATAGATATATACATACATACATATATATATATATATATATATATGGTAGCAGATGTTGTAATGACTAAGTTGTGAGTCAGATTTAATGGATCCAAATGCATCAAGCTTTCTGGTCAGTCCTTCAACCTTCCAGTCAGTTTACTACGAAGCCAAAGAGAATGATGCCATCATTGATCTTGGTCTTAGCCTCAGAGCTCTGCAGCCTGAAACTTACCATCCATCTGCACATTGTACGTTCCTTCTTCCTCCCTTTTTCTTCTTCGATCTCTTCTACGAGAGATATTTTAAACTACTAATCTGCAGAAAACGGAATTCGAACTTGGTTCAAGACAGGCCAACTGGCCAAACTCGCATGTGTCTGTGTTTTCTATTTTTTACATTGCATTTACTATTGTAGTGGTGAGCTTGGAGGGATATGATGGTCTGATAGATTGGCCCCAGGCTAACCTGAACTTGAAGAACACTAGCATTCTAAACGCGAGAAATGTCGCGGAAGATTGCGACGAAGAAGCAGAGGGAGTGCAAAGCAAGGAGAGGAGGGCTTATGTGAAGGTTAACATGGATGGGCTTGTTATTGGCAGGAAAGTCTGTATTCCTGATCACAGTGGTTACTCGAGTCTTGCCTTTCAGCTGGAAGACATGTTTGGTAAGTAGGAGGAAAAGATAATCTAAGAAAGTGAGGATCTTTACGCTCACAAATTAATAAGTGGTGCATTGATGTTTCAGGTAGACAATCTGCATCTGGGTTAAGGTTATCTCAGGATGCGTCCGAGTTTTTGCTTTTTTACAAGGACAGAGGTGACAATTGGCGAACTGTCGGTGATGTTCCATGGAAGTATGTTCTTTATCCTTTACTTAGACCTTGTTCGTAACCATTTTGGCTTTTGCTTTAGTTTTATTTCCAACAACAAAAAAAAATGATGACAAAAAACTAAAAATGAAATGGTTATCAAATAACTGCTTGAATTTTGATTGGATTTTCCAATTTATTAAAGACTATATTGTTGAAGTTTTGTTTTGAATTGTGACAGGGAATTTGTAGAATGTGTGACGCGAATGAGGATTGCAAGAAAGAATCAAGCTTTTCTTTCACCTCCTTTGAAATTTAACTAATTTTTTGTTTTCCGCGTTGTTTCATATGTTCTTAGAGATAGTTTAACGTTGGAAGTTGGAACACCATTTCGACTACGAAATAGTGTACCAACAATAGCATGTTTGTATGCACAAGAAATCGTAAGATAGGCTTCAAGCTAAACTTTTAATAACGCTTAGCCCTCTAACTAATTATTTATTTCTTTATACCTGCCTTTTGCATCATGTGAAAAACATCTAATAACACATAAGATATCGCCGATATTACTGATACGGAGACGAAAAACATTATCGTGTTTGTTTAGTGCAGTGACTTGTGAGTGAGAAAATCACAATCTACAAAGGACACCGAAAGGTCAGTGACAGAATGCAGAGTTAGACAGACCAAATACATTCCGAGTCTCCGACAAAGAAACTCAGCTTTTAAGTCAATAGAACAGAATACGTAGATTAATTACTAATTACTTGACTGATCAAAAGGACAGCTGGAATCTTGTCGAAGATTGACTAACTAAATAGTTTGGTGGAGCCCACTCCCCCTTTATTCGCGCTAAATGGTGGGTAAATAGATAATCAACTGTCTTAATCTTACTGTTTTACAATGTGATGAAATCATGAAAACAGACAGTTCAGAACACTTTCCAGCCAGTTGATAACAAAAGACACTTTATATTCTACCTTAAATGTTTTAGTCCAAGTTGTGATAAACAAGAATCGTTAAATACATTCGCTCTAACCAATGTAGCTTATCCAACGTTTGTTGCTAACATACCAATGTATAAATTCAATGGCGATTATCGTTCATATTCTGAAGGGGAAGGGCGAACCCGTTTCGTTTAATGATTCAAAGATTATATCTGTGGAGATAAGAGGCAGTAAGGAACAAGAAACAAATCAGCAACTTCATTAACCTACAAGAACAAGAAGATACAAAAAGGTCTGAAATAAGAGCATGAAGACATCAGCGTTCACAAATATACTAGTTAAGGGCCAATTCATGCACGGTTAACAATGCTCTTTCAGCGGTTCTACCTCAACCTAGCTCTATCAAATGACAGTAGGAAAATCAGAAATCTTACTGTCGAAACGCCTACGCTAAATACACAAATGCACGATCACTAAGATTGAACTAACTCAAACATCAAGCTTCACAAGTGGATTGAATTTGCCGCCTATCATATCTCAGACAGCAGACGTGGCCAACCTGTCTAAAGCATCGGATATGTGCCTCATTATCGGTCTCCTTTCAGGGCTGCTGTGAACGTGTTAACTTTTGAAGTTTTTGTATTTTGTTGTCTTGCTAGGAACAGAAACATGATACAAATATATAGAGGAGTTTGAGTGAGTTGCAAACAACACTCAACACTCAAGACTCTAACCTAGAAGTCGGCCTAGGAAAAAATAATTAAGCTCCTTGAATTAAGGAGCTGCCAACAAGCTGTCAACCAGCTGCCAACAAGATAAGACACTTATACATAATTAAGCTCCTTGAATTAAGGAGCTGCCAACAAGATAAGACATTTATACAACTAGATAAAGCACTACTAGGGTTGACACACACCCTATTTCACAGATAATATACAATATACCCAGAGAACTTTCAATACTCCCCCTCAAGCTGGATCCAAGAGGTTGATGGATCCAAGCTTGCCGAGAAGCCGCTGAAACTGAGGTGATGCTAAAGGTTTAGTGAATAGGTCTGCGAGTTGATCGTAGCTCTTGACAAAATGAGTTTTGATGACCTGTGATTGTACTTGTGCACGGACATAGTGACAATCAACTTCGATGTGCTTGGTTCTCTCGTGGAAGACGGGGTTGGACGCAATGTGCATTGCCGCTTGGTTATCACAGAAAAGAGACATGGACTGAGTAGTAGAGACACCTAAGTCGCACAGCAAACCTTTTAGCCATATTAGTTCACAGGCAGTAGATGCCATGGCGCGATATTCAGCCTCAGTGCTGGATCGAGCAACTACGGCTTGCTTTTTACTTTTCCAGGTAACAAGATTGCCTCCCACAAATGTGCAATACCCCGTTGTAGACTTACGATCAATAGAGTTGCCAGCCCAATCAGCATCACAATAACCTGTGATCTCAGTGCTCTCATTCTTCTTCATGATGATGCCACGACCTATTGAACCTTTGAGGTACCGAAGTAGTCTCTTGACAAGATTAAAATGCTCCATGGTGGGAGAGTGCATAAATTGGCTAGCAATGCTTACTGAATAGGCTATGTCAGGCCTTGTAATAGTCAAGTAAATCAGCTTACCAACAAGACGCTGATAATAGCTGATGTTTGGCAGTGGTTGCCCTTCCAAGCTAAGTTTGAGTTTCGTGTCAAGAGGTGTATTGACAGGTTTAGCATCACTCATGTTTGCTTCCTTGAGAAGGTCCAGAACATATTTCCGTTGGCTGAGAAAGAAACCCTTGGGAGAGGTAGCCATTTCGATGCCAAGAAAATATCTAAGTATGCCAAGATCTTTGATGGCAAAACGTTGTTGCAGTGAATGCTTGAGCTTAGTTATTTCATCCATGTTGTCTCCTGTGATGATTAAATCATCGACATAGACAAGAACGACCAGTTTCCCAGCAGTGCCCGTGCGTACGAACAATGAAGAGTCTGCATTGCTTCTTTTAAAACCAACCGTTGTGAGGACTGAACTTAGCTTGGCATACCAAGCTCTTGGTGACTGTTTAAGACCATAAATTGATTTGTGCAATCTGCACACAAGATCAGGTTCATGACTTTGAGGATGGCCTGGGGGTAACCTCATGAAGACTTCTTCTTCAAGCTCACCATGTAAGAAGGCGTTCTTTACGTCCATTTGAAACATAGGCCATCCTTTGTTAACAGCAACTGAAAGGAGTACTCTTACAGAGTTCATCTTTGCAACAGGGGCGAATGTTTCTTTGTAGTCCACATCAAAGGTTTGAGTAAAGCCACGAGCCACTAATCTTGCCTTGTGTCTTTCTATGGATCCATCTGAGTTGAATTTAACCTTGTATATCCACCTGCAACCTACTGTCTTCTTTCCCTTAGGCAGTGTCTCAATGCTCCAGGTTTTGTGTTGATCAAGGGCATGCAGTTCATCTTGCATGGCTTGCTGCCAAACTGGTGATTGATTTGCTTCTTGGAATGACTGAGGCTCATCATGCTCAGATATACTACACAGGAAAGCAGTGTGTTTAGGAGACATTTTGTGATAGGATACGTAGTGGGACAGTGGATGTCTTGGTTTGTAAGTGACAAAGTCTTGCAGTCTTGCTGAAGGATGTCTTTCACGAGTAGGATTGCGTCGAGGTGCAGTTGATTGCAACTCGTAGGATGATTCCTCAGGAGCAATACTGTGGATTGATTCAGAATTGTTGGTATCATTACTTGAGGCTTGGTTGTCATTTTCAGTAGGGATATTTGTGTGATGAACAGGCCCCATTGCATCAGGTACTTCAGTGACAAGGATTTCAGTTCTTGGCAATGGAAACAAATCCAAGTAATTCTCCCCCTCACTTGAACTATCCAGAGCTTGGCTGTAATAAGGGTTAGTTTCATGAAATCTGACATCCTTGGAAACAATTAACCTCTTAAGTTGTGGATTGTAACATTTGTATCCCTTTTGTGTGGATGAGTAACCAAGGAAAATGCATTTGGTTGCTCTCGGGTCAAGTTTGTCTCGATGCAAGGACTGAACATGGACAAAACAAATGCATCCAAAGACTTTAAGGTGTGACAGGTCTATTTTCCTGTTCTTTACAATTTCCATTGGTGATTTGAACCCCAAAACCCTGCTAGGTAACCTGTTGATCAGGTAAGTGGCTGCCATAACACTTTGAGACCAAAAACGTTTAGGTACATTCATTTGAAACATCAATGACCTAGTTTTTTCAAGGAGATCTCGATTTTTTCTCTCGGCAATACCATTTTGTTGAGGTGTGCCAACACAACTAGTTTGATGCATGATGCCATTGTTGCTCAAATATTGAGTCATGACTTGGGACATGTATTCGGTGCCATTATCAGACCTTAGAGTTTTGATTTGAGAGGAAAAATGATTTTTAACAAGACTATGAAAGTCTTTAAACACTTCCATCACTTCACTCTTTGATTTTAACAAATATAACCAAGTTGCTCTTGAATAGTCATCAACAAAGGTTATGAAATATTTGTAACCATCAAAAGACTCACTAGTTGGTCCCCATACATCCGAGTGTACAAGTTCAAAAAGATGAAAAACTCTAGACAAAGATGAACGAAGGGGTAGCTTTGTTGCCTTTGACATGTGGCAAGTTTCACAATGAATTTGTTCTTTGTCTAAATCTGGAAACAATGTGGACAAAACATGTTGAGATGGGTGTGCTAATCGCTGGTGCCACAAAAACTGGTCTTGAATGGAGACATGTACGGGTATAGACTTTGCTTGTAATCCACTGGGAGAGCTTTTCGAGATGTAATAGAGACCATCTAGGTAAAATCCCTCACCAATCTTCCTCTTGGTGACAAGATCCTGAAAAATGACATTTTCTGGTGAAAAAATGGCTAAGCAGTTTAAGGAATTTGTGATTTTTCCTACTGAGAGAAGTTGGAATGGAAACGAAGGCACGTATAAGGCCATGGACTCTATTTGATCAGATATCAAGTGAATTTTTCCCTTGCCTACAATCCTAGCACCTTCACCATTAGCTACAGACACATGTGATGGTTTATGAAGTTTCTCGAATTTATGTAATTTTGACACTTGATTAGTCATGTGATCTGTGGCACCTGAATCTACAACCCAAAAATCATGCAACTCATTCATTTTAAGAGCAGTTTTGAAAGCATTCATGATACCTTTCATGCCTTGTTGAGGTAAGCGATCAGCATCAGCCAGGAAACCAGCAAACTTGCCAAGCAATGCCGAGGTACTTTCATCTTCATGTTCAGCAGCACGATCTTCCCTACCCTTCTTTTGATGGAGATAGGCTGCGAACTCATTTATAAGAGTAGCAGGATTTGCAGTGAACTGTTTGTATGGATCAGAACTGTTGAAAGATGAAGATGATGAGGTGTTGGCACGAGGATGTGCTCGACTTGTCTTCTGCGTGGTTTTGTCCTTCATGAAATCTGGCTTAAGTTCTGGATGGAGAATCCAGCACTTATCTCTCACATGCCCGATGTTGTCACAGTGTAGGCACTTTAGATGGGGGTTTTTTCCTTTGTATCTTTTTTCATTTGTCAGATACGCCCTAGCTTCAGTCACAATGGTTTTTGTACCATTGTTCATGACTTTTCTTCTTATTTCCTCACGTTGGATGGTTGCACAAATGCTAGTGAAGGATGGTAGCTCAGGATTCATGAGGATATGGCTTCTCAAATCCTCATAGTCTGAGCTCAGACTAGACAGCAATTGGAATATCTTATCTTCTTCAGTTCTTTTAAGAAGCACCGTGGGATCAGTGGTGTGAGGTCTATAGACATCCAGCTCATTCCACATGCTTCTTAGAGAGCCAAGATGTTGAACAAAGGTTTTACCTTCTTGTTGAACGCTGGAGATATCCTTCTTGAGTTGAAAAATGCGGGCAGAATTATTTTGATTACCATACATCTCCTTCACTGTTGTCCAGAGAGTGAGTGACGACTCAGAATAGCTGAAGATCTCAGCAATCTTCCTTTCCATGGAATTAAGCAGCCATGACATGACCAGCTGATCTTTGCAAAGCCACCCTCCATATTCAGGAGAAGTGACTCTAGGAGCAGGAAAACTGCCATCGATGAAACCCAGTTTGGATCTTCCACCTAGTGCGAGACTAACCGCTCTTGCCCACGGTAAATAATTGAACTCATTCAGTAACACTGAACTGAGTCGTTGATTTGGATTGATATCCATTTCAGAGATGTGAGTGGAAGGAGAAGCAATGATGCTCTCTTCCTCCGAATGCTTATCAGCCATAGTTGAAGAAAAATCACAACGTAAGATATTCAAAGACAGGCTTCAGAGGGATGCCTGCTCTGATACCATGTTAACTTTTGAAGTTTTTGTATTTTGTTGTCTTGCTAGGAACAGAAACATGATACAAATATATAGAGGAGTTTGAGTGAGTTGCAAACAACACTCAACACTCAAGACTCTAACCTAGAAGTCGGCCTAGGAAAAAATAATTAAGCTCCTTGAATTAAGGAGCTGCCAACAAGCTGTCAACCAGCTGCCAACAAGATAAGACACTTATACATAATTAAGCTCCTTGAATTAAGGAGCTGCCAACAAGATAAGACATTTATACAACTAGATAAAGCACTACTAGGGTTGACACACACCCTATTTCACAGATAATATACAATATACCCAGAGAACTTTCAATAGAACGCAAGCCATTGCGATCTTCAGAACCGCGATAATCTCTTCTTCCTTATCCACATCTTGCATCAAATTTGGATCTAAAACATCTAAAAGAGGCTTCTTCTCTTCAATGTTGAGCTGAATCCAATGAACCAGGGCCATTTCTGAGGAACCCACTTGGACTATTGGCAATCTTCCGGTAATCATTTCGAGTAAGATTACCCCGTACGAATACACATCCGACTTCTGTGATGGTTTCACCATTTTCAGAGCTTCTGGGGCCTGATAACAAGATCCCAAATTGCCGGACGAACTAACCAGAGAAGCTTCAGTTGGCACTGCACTCGTTTGTTGCCTTTCTTGTGATATTTCTGTGGGGATTCGGTTGGATTGCAGTGTCGGTGACCCTCCAGCGATATTTGCAAGGCGTCCAAGTCCGAAATCAGAAATGTGGGGTTCCATGTTCTGTCCAAGCAGTATGTTATTTGGCTTCAAATCTCCATGGACATATTTCTTGGGGCTAAACTCATGAAGATAGACCAAGCCTTTTGCAATTCCTTTCATGATATTCAACCGAACAGACCATGATAGCGGTGTGAATGATACCACTCCTGGCTTTCCTAATGACAGAACAAAACAATCAAATCAACAAAAACACCACATTTATAATTTTATTCGCAAATCTGAGTAAATACACCTACCATTAGCAAGAGAATATAAAAACCACTAACAAGAGTATGAGTAACCAAAATAGACAAGGAAAAATGGTAAGCTCACCGTGAATGGCGGTGGCAAGGCTGCCATTAGGAATATAGTCATATATGAGCAGCTTTTCATCAACAGACCAGTAATAAGCCCTCAGAGTAACGACATTAGGATGCCTTAGCTTTCCAATTGCTTCGACTTCCGTCTGAAATTCCTTGAATCTCTGGGAGCCCCCTTCGCCCAATCTTCTCACTGCTACCGTGATTCCTTCTTCAAGCACAACTTTGTAAACAATTCCAATTCCACTTTTTCCAAGAACAAAAGCAGACGCCTTAAGAAGCTCGTCCAGATCAAATGCCACTTGTGTATCCAATGCCACTAGATCATAGTGCTCCATATTCTCCGATAAAGTCTCCGATTCATCTTTCCTGAAGCACAAGCACTCTTTCCTTCGCTTACCTCCCTTGTCATAACCATTTTCATCCTTAACCTTACTACGAACCCAAAACCTCGAATAACAATATGAGAAAAGCAGCCCAACAAGGCAAATGCCAATTACATCACTCACTATAATTGCAATGACAGCTCTTTTACTCAACCCTCTAGCTTTCCCACTCTTTCCAGCATTATAATCAGAATCCTGAGGGGGGGAGTTATCTGGCAGATACGGAATTGAGGATGGTGGACTAGCACCGGAAACTTCAGAAGAACACGGGTTCTTCAATGGAGGGCCACAAAGATTAGGATTCCCAATAAAAGCAGTTGGTCCTCTGTTCATCAGAGCACCATTTTGCGGTATCGGACCACTCAAATTGTTGTAAGTAAGATCAATGTAAACCTTCTCAGGAAGATTTCCAAGGCTTGCCGGGATTGCACCCGAAAACAGATTATGAGACAAATCAACAGTGCCTTGCAAGCTAGACAGATTTCCCATATCACTAGGAATCGAGCCACTGAACTTATTGAAAGAAAGATCAAGTTTTTCCAGAGAAACAAAACCACTTCCAAACCCTTCTGGTAGAAAGCCAGTGAAATTATTCTGACTAAGATCGATGGTTCTGAGCCTCTTGCATTGTATAATCGACGAGGGCAACGACCCATTAAACAAATTTTCTGATAAATCTAGGGATTGAAGGTATTTGAGCTTACCAATTACATTTGGGACAGACCCAGATAAGGAATTTCCATAAAGCACCAAACTTTGGAGCCCCAGAGCTTGGAAAAGGTCAAGGGGCAAGCTTCCGTACAACATATTGTTCCTTAAATTGACATGGCGGAGCTCGGAGAGGGCTCCCATGGCGGAAGGAACAGACCCAGAAAGTTTCTTCTTTGGAATGCTGAGAGAGACAACCCTTTGGTCCTTGCATGTAATCCCATTCCATGTGCAGGGGTTGGAATCAGAGGAGTTCCAGTTGCTTAGAGACCCTTCTGGGTCTTCTGCAATGGAATGCTTGAACGACAAAAGGGCATAGCCTTCGTCGTTCAAAGAATCCACCAGGCAATGAGAGTTGCAGAGCAGCAGAAATACCAAAACTAAATTATAAAACATTTCCAGCAGAAAATTGCAGAGTCAAAGTTCAAGGGGATTACCTTTACTTTCTCTGCAGCCGAAACCAAGTGAAGGGTTTTGGAGAAAGCAGAGAGAGACAATGGAAGTGGAGTGAAAGGAAGTGTGAAAGCCTTGACAGTGATGGAGAATGGTAGAGGCTCAGCAAGCACGGACCTTGGGACTATAGAGAACCCAAAAGAAAATGGCAAAAGAGTAGGTTGGCGTGGGAATCCACACGATACTGTCACTCAAATCCCTTAAATTCAACTTATCGCGATATTTTGTTGGACACCAATCATCGTGCTTTTGTTCAAGAAACATTGCGTTGATTATTTTTATGACACTCATGACTTTACCTAACCTTAAGGATGTTTGTTTGGCCTCATTAGTTCTCATTAGACTAAACTAGATTAAAGATTAGTGTAGTCTGTTGTTTGTTAGTTGAAGAGACTAATTTTAATGGGATAAGGATGGACTTGCCCCGACTAAATCCATCGCTAAACGGTCTTTGTAAGACATTCCGAAAATCAGCGAACTACTAATACCGTTGCTCGCATCCTCATCTTGCTTGATTGCGTCCCTATACTACTCATCTTGGTCCTCTTCCTGCTCGATGCATCCTCGTTCGGCTCAACTTCTCATTTGAGAACGCAAAGAAAACCCCTAGACGGCCCAACGTCGTCATCGCCCATGCGTCCATTGTTCACTTTCTTGTTCGTCTCTCTCTCATCCCTTAACTTGATCATCGTCTTTATTTTTGTGTCTAATTACTTGTTTTTCGAATTGGGTTATGGGTTCTAGTTATTTTGGATTTTGGATTTTGTTAATTTGGATGAAATTTTGTTAATTTATGGGATTAAAATATGAAACTTGGAGTGGATTATGGGTTATTTGCAATTTCCCCTGGCTATGTAGAAATCCATAGCCATAAATGGGGATTCTGGATTTTGTTAATTGGATGAAGTTTCGTTAATTTTTAGATTAAAATTTGAAACTTGGAGTGAATTGGTATGTAGGGATTTGTAGCCAAAAATGGGGATTGCAATGAAAGGCAGAGAACCTCTATTTCTTCCTTGCACTCCCAAGGCAAGACAAGAATTGGGAATGTAAAGGATAAGTGGCTCAGAGTCAACTGTTATATTTTCTGGAATTGTTTCTTTGTTTTCTCAATTTCGTTTCCAAGAATTGCTTATGTTTAGCTTTGTTCCTCGATTTTTTTTTTTATTGCGGATCTGCTACTTTTTGTTGGATTGAAGCAAATAACGTTAATATTTTGTTATATATCATCGGTTTTTGTTTTCTTCATTATTCTGCTTCTTAATCCAACACTGCACCAAACGTTTCACTAAGATAGTCCAGTTTAGTCTAGTCTAAGCTAGTCCAGCTTAATCTCTGCAGCTAGTCTAGTCCGAGACAATATGGTGCAACAAACGCACCCTTAGTGTTTTGCACAATGTTTTATAAAATTGACATATGAATTAACTTTAAACTGTGAAGTAACAAATTGTTTATGAATAGTCTATTTTTAAAAGAATCTCGTTAGCATTTCTCAATTTATATTAAGAAAATAGAGTACTGTTTAGAATCCAAACTATATTGATTTGAGGAGAAAAGTTTTAATTAAAATATAGTAATCAACCATTTGCTAATAAGTAGTAGTAGGAGTAGGATTATTAAACTTACGTTCTTTAATTAAAACATTTGATCTAGCCGTTTATGACAATCTATAAAATATGGCCATTCGTAAAGCATCTCTTATAAATAAAACACGGTTTTCGATGCTAAGGTTCGTTTCAACCCTACAATGGTTCCACACTCACATTGATATTGGTTTCACACTAGTGAGAAGTGTCTTATACATGAATGAATTATTATGTACAAACAATCACATGTAACGTTTTTCATATAAGTGGAATCACCGGTGAGTATAAATAATATCAAACTACAAAACGCCTAAATTTTACAGTTCAAACACTTCAGCCGTCAATCGAACACTAAATTTTCTCATAAACACGAGGTGGTCAGTCTATCATACTAAATATTTCCTCACAAACACACTGACATTTTAGTATGAAGCGAAGAGAGGCGCAGCCCCAACAAGTGCATTTTAGAGTGATGATTGTTCCACGCAGGTTTCAAACCGTTAATGGGGACAAAATATGATTACGGTCACTGACTCACTGGTCACTATCTGCTCCGATGATGACCTTCTTAAAGTCATTGGAAATATGGCCATAAGTCTCTTGCTGACGTGGCATTGAATGAAAAAAGAGACAGTCGAAAATATCGCGATAAAATGATATAGAAGATGGCGATAAATTGACATGTGAACACTTGAGGCTACTGAGAGGGAGTCTAGAGAATAGCCGTTTGTCAGCGGTGAGGCCCACTCTATAAAGCTCCCCACTTTACAGAGACTGGAGAGTAAATAATTTATTTTTGGAGGGCTTGAATGCAAATAGAGAATTCAGAAAAGAACGACACCGTTTTGGGTGCAAGAAAACAGGGTCCACCTGAAGTACCATGACGGGGACCAGAAGAAGATGCTGGAGATACTTGCTGGATGCAAGAAAACAGGGTCCACTTTTCGTGTGGGTGGCCGTAATGTAGATGACGTTTTCAAGGTGAAATTTGTAGATGGAAAGCAAACATGGGAGGGACGCGGTCAAAGTGACAGTATTTTATACCTATCATGCGGTTTCGTGTGTTTATGCCTTTCCACGTAGCGTTATGTGATTGGTTAAAAATATCATCGTCATGTTGCGTGTAATTTGTTCTCGTGGTTTTGAGGCATCTGGTGAGTTTGATGGATCGCTAGCTCATGGCAACATGTCAGCCACTGGAATCAAAGAGCCTAGATAAGACAACTACTTGCATTCGGAAAAAAAAATATGATCATGGTAATCAAATTCATCTGTAAGACTAATACAAGGGCAACTTATTTTATCTTCGAAACAAACAATTCAATCAAAACCAAGTAATAAAAAGTAAAAATCCAATAAAAATTTACTCTTTCCTACTCCCCCGGCCAATTTGTTTGTTTCTAACTTGTATTCTGCTGCTGTCTCAGCGGCCATAAGTGTGGTTCTTGGAAGCTGAGTTTCAGTCGTGTGCCGGGTGGCGGTTGCTGATCAAGCACCGCAGCCGGCACTTGCAGCGGCGCAATTAGAACCGTAAGTATCGTGACCGGTGGTGGCGGCTTTGTCTTTGGGCACGCCATCTGCACAGGAGAAGATGATGGCTGAGATAACAACAAAGGTGGCTAGGGCTGCCCACAACATCACAAAAACTGCTGCACTGCCGCCGCTTAAACCACTCCCTCCACCTCCGAGCTCTTTCCAGTCCATCGCCATATGACTTGATAAATTGCAAGCTCCTACCTTCTCTCTTAGAAATGGCTGATAAGCTGACGAACTGACTAGTAGTCTAATTTTATCGAAAGGGTGTTTTATTTCTTTCCAATTGCTCTCATACATAGTGATTGGTGGTCCATTACCCTTCTCCACGTTGGAGTGGTGTGCGTGTGTGTATATACAGACGCACGTTAAAATGGCTAAATTAAAAATATGGTCAACCCAAAGTGTAGAAGCATCCGAAGTTTTAGTGAAATTATGGACCGCGAAGTTTGATGGAGATCGAACTCGGATGCAGAGAGACGGACACATTATACCGTCAACCGGTCGAACTCTGGGATGCCGGCTTTCTTCAAAAAAAAAATGAGAATAGCAAGAAAGGGAAGGCCTAGAGATTAAGGAAGACTTAGTGGTCTCCAACTCTCCCTTGTTTTATATAAGATATATACACGTATATCTTTTTTCGTATCTATATGTATACATACTTTTCTTGCTATACATACTAAATAGTTTAGTGGAAATTAATTTTGCATAAATTAAGATGATCAATCTTCAAGAATCTGGCATTGATGGGTAACTAACCATAACCTGTAAACAGCTAATCACACCAAATTAAACTAATCTAAATAGACCTAACAGATTGCTGACTCATGCGTATATCATCTTTAACATCAAACTGTTGAGTCTGTTGACTCCAGAGGGTACTTATTAAGATGAGCAAGCTAGCTGAGACTGACTGATGATCTTCTACATTATTTTCCTTTGTTCTTCTGTGCCTTGAACCGTTTGTTTAAACTTTTTAGGGCTACTACTGAATCAACGCTGCTGCTTCTCAAATTTTAGGCAGACCGAGCTTCAATGCTGGACGACGCGATTAAATACATCAAATATCTCCTCACATCAATCTGCCTCTTTCTTTTCAGTTAAACTTTTAATTGCCTTAATAAAATGTTACTTCTTATGTACATGATCAGACGATGTCCATGGGATGAGCTGTGTACTAGATTTCAAGTATAATAATATAATTGATTAAAAAAATTTAAAAAAAAAATTCTAACTAATTGTATTGTGACATTTTGTGTATCTAAACGTATCATCGGCACACTGAAAAAAATTCTTATAATCTTCAGTTCTTGACATCATTTTGGATCCAAAAAATTCTTTGAACATTGACCAAATGAAATTAGTACCTCTGCTGAACAGATTGCAAATATACGATTTTCGGTGTTGAGTTGAGCTAATCATCATTACAACGCCAGTGTAAAAGTAAAAGAATTTGCTTTGGAAAAAAAAAATTAGGGAAGGTCGATTATGATCAATGTAAAATGGAGTATAATATTATTTCAATGGGAATATAATTGTTTACCATCTTATTTATCATCGTCATAGAAGTTTAAATTCGAAATTTGTCCAATAAATAGACACAAATCCTAAAAATTAAACTCATCCAACAATAATAATTATGGTGATAAACGCAGTAGAAGAGTATTGTATTTAATGTTTGGTAACTTTTATGGAGATCTCCGACTAATTGTACGAATCACTGTCCCTGGCCACTCTTGTATAAATAGCCAAGAGATCTAACTCGAGCTGCGCCTGCACTGCACCAACATTTATATAGTTGACTACATTGCTTCAACTCAAGTTTGAAGATGATGAGATCAATGTCCTACTACAACCTTGGAATATTGTATGTTGTAGTTTTTGATGTTGTGGTCGGGGGAACCCAGGTGGGTGAGGCAGCGGTGACTTGTAACCCAATGGAGCTACCCCCCCGTGCGCCGCTGCAATCATGTCCTCGAACTCTCCCACCGCCGTGTGTTGCAAAAACCTGAAGGAGCAGAGCCCTTGCCTCTGCCAGTTTGTGAAGAACCCCAACCTCCAGAGGCTTGTCAACTCCCCAAACGCCAAGAAGGTCGCCGACGCTTGTGGTTGTCCATTCTCCACATGCTAATCTCTTTGATTAAGCCTGATTAGCCTTTAATCTCAGCTACCACTTTCTTATTTATCATCTTAATTATCAGCTGCTAATAGCTAATAGTAGTGGCGTTTGTGCTTGTGGGAGATGGATTTATCATGAATTTTAAAGTTGTTTGTCAAGAAGCCTTGAACTTGAAGGTATATTAATCAAGCTTTTTACTACATTTATTTTATTTGAACATCATTCCACTTCCACTGTGATGATTTAAGATGGAGTTTTACATACTCCAGCATAAATATCCAGCTCATTGAGCTCAAGAAACTTGATCTAATTTTCTTAAAAAAAAAAAAACAGAAACTTCATCGATCCGTTGCTAAAGAAAGCATTCAGATTGATTCACTGATTCGTTGATAAAAAAAAGTATAAAATTCAATCCATATGAATAGCACTATTGATTCTTTTTAGTACTGCATCTTCATTTGTAGGTGAAAAGTTTTATGTTTGATTCTCGTCAATAAAGAATTCATATCAAATTATTATAGCTAATTCTTTTTGAGGCTTAGCCCATTTTCCTTCCGTTCATGTAAATAATATTGTATGTATTAAAAAAAAAAAGCACTATTGATAAATGTGAATTAAACTAGTTGGCAAAACAGCATATCCATGCTTTTGTACTCGAGTTTGAAACTTCTAATTTTCTTTTCACAGTATATCACACGAGAGAGAGAGAGAGATGATAAATTTTTAAATCCCAATTGTTTGAATGAAATTTTTTTAGTATTTGATCGATGTTTGATAATTATATCATTCATATTTGATCGATCTGTTGTTAGATATTTGTCATTGATTAGTTTATCAATTGAAATTCGGTTTCTGATTGTCAAAAACAACAGTCCCCTAGAGTTGCTTCTCTGATTACAATTTTTTATTGGGTGCTCTTGCCTGATCCAAAGAACCAAAGGTTCTAAAATGCATTAATCGTGTAGCGGACATGAACCTTATCTAGGCGGGTCTAGGCATTATATATTAATTTTCAAACGTTTATAGATTAATCGGGACGGTGACCAGCCACAACGCCTAAGAGGGAATTTTTATAACAGTGCTATATAGATATTTATATACCAAAACACAACGTACATACGCATACCACAAATTCAGAAGATTGAAGTGAAGAAAAATGGAAAATCAACCAAAAAAAGTTGGGGAATATATATGATTGGGGAATTTATACTTCCACTTCTAACATATATATGATGACATAGCATATACAAGTCTCCAGCTCATTTCATATTTTGCTCCCACCATTTCTTTCCCCTCGATCGACAAAAGCCACCAAAACTGCGGAATTGATGATCTTCTTCTCAATCTCATACCACAATCACCGACCCCCCAAAGAACGAACCTAACAGCAGAATTACACCTTCTGAAATCCACTGGTTTGTTGTTCCTGCTGCTCGTGCTGCTCGTGCTGCCCGTAGTTAGAACTGCTCATGTCAAGGCCTTCGTTTCGGTGCTTCTCCCATCCCCCAGTATCAGCTTTGGAATGTGCCCAGTAGTAAAGACTTGATCCTGCCAGTGACAACAGCGTAAGAGCAGCGCCGGCGGCAAACACGCCCTTGCGCAGAGTAGCACAGGACAAGTCATCTACTTTGAAGATTCCCCGGTACTTGGTGTGGTATGCATTCTTTGCCGACCCAGCCAACAAGCACGCCTCCGCTCCCAAAAAGGTTGTCCTGATTAATTCACAGTTCAGAAGCTTCAGATTTTGGTTTTAGCAAAACCAAGCAAATGGGATTGCCATTTACACAAACACAATGCTAGAGAGTAGAGAACAACGTTCACTCAAGGATGGGCTCGTTTGGAAGTGCTTTTAAAATGACTGAAAGTGTTTTTAGTGAAATTGTTTTTGGGTTTCAATAGCAATTGAAGTGCTTTCTTCAGGAAAATTCACTTGCATTTTTACTAAGAATTAGTTCCAAAAGCACTTTCATCAAAGTGCTTTTAGCCATTTTAAAGCCTTTTCAAAGGAGTCCTAAGCACACAACCACAAGCAAGCAGTTAGATCATCCAAAGGAACACCATACTAACCAAATGAGCAAGTGAATTAGCTACTTTGACTATTTCAAACTAGTGTGGAAGGATTAAGACCGTTGATCAAATCATCAAACCATGATTAAGAAATTAAAAATGATTAGAGTAAATTGTAGCAATGGTCTCTCAACTTTAGTCAAATTGGAGTAATGATCCATCAACTAAAAATCTATTACCATTGGTTCTTCAACTCATCAAAATGTGTAGTTATAGTATTTTTCGTCAATTCTAACGTCAAAATAAGTTATGTTAGAATGACTATTGCTACAATTGGGGTCCCTCAACTTATTAAAACGTGTAGATATAATCATTTTCGTCAACTTCATCAGAATTTTATCAAAATTAATTAATTTAAAAAAAATCATTGCTACAATTGAAGTTCCTCAACTCATTAAAACGTGTAGATATGGTCATTTTCGTCAACTTCGTCAGAATTTTATCAAAATGAGTTAGTTTAAAAAAAAACCCATTGCTACAATTGAAGTTCCTCAACTCATTAAAACGTATAGATATGATCGTTTTCGTCAACTTCGTAAGAATTTTATCAAAATGAGTTAGTTTAAAAAAACCATTGCTACAATTGGGTTAAAATTAAGGGATTATTGCCTCAATTAGGTTAAAGTTAAGGAATTATTTATTCAGTTGGATTAAAGTTGAGAGACCAATAGTAGTTAATTTTTAGTCGAGGAATCATAGCTAGACGTTTTGATGAGTTAAAAGATCAACGATAATGAATTTTAATTGAGTGACCATTATTCAATTGAGATAAAGTTGAGTGACTATTTACTCAAATGATTAAAGAGAGGCGAAAAAATGGGTAAAAATTACCAGGAGAAGACGAAGAAGAAGACGGTCCAAGTGGTGGAGGAGCCAGTGACTAGACCTTTGCCGCAGCAGAGACACCTGGTGACGACGTTAAGCACCGTCTGGCTGACGACAAGCAGCCCAAACGCCGCTAATCCGTACACCGTGGAGGCGTCCGTGCCGTACACGCAGTAGGTACGCTCGTCGTACTCATCGGGCACTATCTTCGCCTAATTCACAGACACAAACAGTTACAGTTAGGGGTTGAAGAAGGACTTAAATATAAAAATTAAAACTTCAAACAGACAGACTGAGGGAGATGGGGGTGGATACCGTGCTACGGCGTCGTTCGGCGCCGACGGCGAAGATGAAGGCGATGAGGTGGAGGGAGGTAACGATGGCGACTATGGGTATCGAAACTGCCATTGTTTTTTCTCTCTCTCTGTGGGAGTGTGTGGGGTTGGTACAGAGAAATCTCTCTCTGCTTTTGAAAGAAAAAGTAAAGAAATTTGGGCAACTTTCTTTTTCTTTTGTTTATTTTTTGGTTTGAGTGAAGAAAAATCGGCAATTTGTCGCTGCCTTTTAGCTTACGTTGGATTTGATTCCTACACTTCGAGTTGAATAACGCTATTAATTTATATAGATTAAATTTACAAAAATTAAATGATATGTTATTAATAAAAAATAAGATTTAATTATTAATTTTATGTCATTTAGTTTACAAAATTATAACTAGATTTAGTATCCTTAGCATTACTCAGATTTCAATTTTCAACCTTTTTACATAGAGGAAATAACTCAACTACTTTATTTATATACGATTCATTCTCGACACATTTATTTACATAGGCAAATTACTAAATCTAATATGTAAATAACACACATCTGACGACATGAAATACGTGTGATCGTTGTTCACACATGTAACAACATGTTTTTGAAGGAATTGGTGTTACGTGACGCTGAGTTATTATACTTACTTGTATTTCACATCATTCCGGTGTGAAATTAAATTGGGTTATTCGATTCTTTATATTTGAGAGAGGGAAAAAATAAAAAGGAAGAGGAGCCATCTAAAGTTTGTCTTCAAGTGTGGTGGTGGATGTGGGACCATTTTATAACATGTATCCAGATAATAATTGTGGACAGATTGCAAGAGCGCGGGTGGGGTTGTCGGATTGCCAGCCTCCCCGGTTGTCTTACCGGAAATAGCAGGTCACCCTTTTTAAATCATGGATGGTGGTTGGATGCTGATTGATCCGCTGCCCAGGACACTGTCCACATCACTAAACCAGCAAAGACTAATTAATCTCAACAATTGGGCTAACACTAAAAAACAGCAGCCCATTCCATATTGGGCCTCTACTGTATGTTAGATATGGTATGGGCCAGAATTGTGTGCCTTTTTAAAGAAACCCACCACTAGTGAAACCCCACAAATAAGATAGAAGCTTATAAATATTTTAGCGTTTCAAAAACACTTGCATACTTCCTTACAAGAAGAACAAGTTATGTAGTTCTTACAGGATTCGCTTGAATTGCTTCTTCAAAAGGGACTTGCATTTTTACTAAAGATTAGTTTGAAAAACATTTTCTTACAAAAATGACTGGTGTGATATCAAGCGAATACAATTTGGAGACCAAGTTTCACGACCTGCGGATTAATAACGATGCTGATTAACTTCTCCTCACTTGCAATTTCTTATGAAAAAAACGTATGCCCTACAAATCTGAGCTTAAAATCTCTTCTTCCAAGTTCCAACTGCCCAAACTTGATTTCATTTAGCAAGAGAAACAGATGACAAACCAGACAGATAACCGCGGTAGCGCGCTTAAAGCGTTACGGTTTCCGAATTTCATAAGAATGTCTACTTAATCATCAGGCAACAACTAACCAAATCTCTTAAACACAATTACATCATTTGATGCAGTTAAATATCAATGTAACGGATGCGATTCAGATACAGATATGGGGAAGAAAAAACTAACACTGGCAATTATCTCTACATCAAAATCCCCTTGTAGATAGGATTACATACTAATAATTAACATCATATCATGGCACAAAAAAGAGCCTGGTTCTTCTCTCTTATATTTGACGTACTCTTCTTACTACCAACAAAATACAGCGGAAACGAGCAAGATAAAAGCTTGCTTACATCAAAAGCAGTAACTTCCATTTAGAGCTAGACCTTTGTAGATTATCTAACTATATTTTCCTTCTATTCACTTCTTACTGAGCCTCTCTCATCTCATGCCAAAAGCTCACTTTTCTTCTGTGGGTTACCCTTCATCCTTTTCTTTCTTTTTTCGTTTTCCTTTTCTTTTCTTTCTCCGGTAGTAAATAACAGAAAACCACACGACAGAATCACCGCACACCAACTTGCCACCAAGAGTTAAACAAAATAAAGACTTTCACAAGTAACCCGCGCAAACAGGCTTCACTTCTATAACGGTGGTAGTAGCATCACAGTTAGCATCATCTTGATATCATCTACGGCTAAAAAACAGAAAATCTGGGTGATTGACCTGATGCTTTCTTAGAAAGTCGTCAGCAGCCTGCAAAAGAGAGCTGGCTAACTGGCGTTCACATCCACCACTCGGCGTCCACAAGGAACCTCTGAATTTGTATGATGCAAGGCCAAAAGCAGGTAACGACATCTTAGGGACACTGTCCATGTCACTTGGATGTGTCAATACAGGAGCCCGGTCATCTTGTACACCTGAAACATAATCAACAAAGAGACAAGATTATCAAACACCTCCCAGAATAGATACAAATCTTATATATTATTCTAAAGCAAACGACTATCACAGCTAAAATCTAGTCATACTTCACACGTAATGAAGTCATCCTCGATATCTGTCTACCAGATTGCATGTCCATTTTGATATGGAACATGCATGCATGTACGGGAGATAAGACAAGATTAACTTGGGCATTATGCAGATATCAGCATATGCGGTGCACTGACAATAATTTTCTTTAATCAACAGTGCAAAATGCCCATATGCAGTAAATGCTAAAATTAAAAGACACAATCTATAAGAAAATCAATCAACTACATAAGTAGTTGCAGAAATATATATTTCCTTATCTAAGTACGCTCTATGAATAAAAGATATATGATCAGACCAAAGCACCAAACGAAACAATGTGGCATCTCACATTATGATGTATGATTAAAACTATAAAATCAGATCAAAACTCCAAACTGAAATAGAGTGCCATCCCAAAGGTATCAATTATGCAGACCAAAAGTCAGGGAGGGAACAAACTTTCACCCTAAGCAAAACTAACAGAAATAAGAATTACCTCTCATAGGTGTACAAAGTGAATGGTACGTTAGAAAGCACGCATCAAGATCCTTTAAAGTTGGTCCTGTTGGAATCCTATATATTGGATACCTGAAAAGGTCACACCAAAACCAATTAGTCACACGACAGTGTACAAAGAGTAAACAAAAACAGAGATTTATAGTACCATGCAACAGATATCCAGCTGGTTGGCAGTAGATCACAGCTTCTTAGTATCTTTAACTCAGGAAAATGGAACGCGAGATCTAGTATCTGTAGAAAGGGAAAGTTCAGAACAAAACCCAAAAAGAGGGAAGTCATAAATACCCGGATACATTACTATTTGTTCAAAACAAAATAACAAGATTAGAGAGAAATGAAATAATAACCTTGTCAGCTAAAGGCTCACGGCAATAAGGAAGGTCCCGTTCAAAATACTCAAACAGTAAGCAACCTTGAGAATTTATAGATTCGCCCTCATCACTGGAGCAGTCTTCGTGGGGTGGTAAATGTGGGTCTCTCAAAGATAATCTTTCTATCGTACGAGGAATTTCGTAATCACAGCTACCGTCACTGCTAGAATCCCTGAAATCACTATCACTGTCCTCATCTGGTCGCCTATCAATAAACGAACATCAAACTTTGAATAACAAATGAAATAATTCATTCCAGTTTTGATGAAAAGAAAATATGTAAACTAAAGTAGGCAAATGTGCAATATTCAGTCAACAATGATTCTGTTAAAAAGTACAGATTCTGATGCAAGGAGTAAACAATCATAGTAATCCATGAAACCCGTTTCCCATAAGTGCACGCGCCATACCATCAAGAACAACAATAAATTCTCGTATTCTGTTTTGGATTTACCTCTGAGTACATGCTGGACAAAATACATTTTGCAGAGATATAACAGTACACTTATCCAGCAGACAAAAATTTGGGTACTCACTTATTCACTACCATGAAGAAAATACAAACACTGCATGCGTGTGACTATAAATCAACTAGAACTAAATCGAAATTATTCTACGAAACAAATGATTATCTAATTAAGTCAAAAGTATGGAGTAAAATGTAATACCCTGTCTTCGTTGCCAATTTCGCAGAGTGGCCGTATATTTGAATGCCGGACAAGTAAGGGACGTAGTACTGAACCACAGAGTCACTGTCATTCAAAATCAGAGGCACTCCTGCACCATAAGCACTCCACTCCTTGAAGGACTCCCATAAATCCCCCAGAACGAAGTATGGCTGATATTCCACGTCGCATGTACTCAATCCTCTCATCGTCCTCTGCAACCAAACAATTAATTACAAGATTAACAAACAAAAAAACCCAAAAAGTTGCACAAATTATATTCAAGCAAACACCTTGGAAAGGCACTGGGCCGGGACGGACGGAGAGATCGACTGCAAGAACCGATCGAGATTACTCAAGGGTTTCACGACGGGCTCAAAAGCAGGCACGGCGACGGGCTGGGGCGGCTCATCAGACCCGGTCCGGTTCTCCGGCTCCCGGTTGGGGTTACCCTTCAAGGAAGGAGATGGGCTGGGCGTGACGTCGCTCTGAGCTCTGCGAAGTTGCTCCGCCTTCTGGTTCTGGTGGGCCCTACGAGCTCTCGCCGGGTCGTAAAATCGATCCTCTCCGCGGCCACGCGTGAACGGCAATCCAGTACTCAACATCACGTGAACGGCGAATCCAAAACTTGCTCTACCCTGAATCCGGTCCCCCACTGCACGCAGAGCGTCTTAAACTCTGAAACAGAGTCAACGGATGGGAACAAATCAAGAACAACTGGGCGGCGGTATTTAGGGGATCGGCGCCTCTGGGGTTTGTCAAAATTAGGGTTAATCGAGAACAATTGGGGGAATCGGATCGGCGGAAACGATAGGGGTTGCGGGGGCCGAGCCGGAACAGCAAAACCCTAAAATGGAGGCTGTGACTGAAATGGATCTGGCGGAAAAAGAAGAAGATGATGATATTGGGTAGGTTTTGAGCGGCAAATCGGTAAAATAAGAGGGGAAAGGGAAGCGATGGGAGGAAGGCGAAAGAAAGAAAGCAAATGGTGAAGCAGGCTCTGAATAAATGGATGGGTACTGCGTAGGGGTAGGAGAAGAACAAAACTATTTTTTTATTATTTTTTAAATCTTTATTGTTTAAATATAAATAATTAAAAAGCAAATTACCAAGGCTTAATGCGATAGGGGCACTCAATTTGTAAAATTACAATCTTATCTTACGTTGAATATGGCTGTGAAGCTTTTAGGCGATAGCAATTAAGGTAATTTGAGTGTGTGTGGGAGTGTGGGTATCGATGGGCCATGATTTGAGCGTCATCTAATGACTAAATGGAAAAGATTACTAAACAGGGTTGCGATTGGTGGCATGGAGGCCACACGGATTAGTGATTGAGGTGAGGGACCTAGCTGCTGACACGTGTGATGGAGAGAAACGTTCTACACGTGTATGGCGGGATTCGCTCTGATAAGGTGAGCTGTCTTTTTCCTTCTTATCCGCATCCGATTTTCTCAGAAAATCGAATAGACCTTTTTTATTTATTTATTAATTCTCAACTTAGAGCCACGACCTTTTGGAAGCGTGAGATTACGCGCCTTTTAGGACTTTTGCGCAATAATTGCCACGTTCTAATATTTTTATTTTTATTTTCTCTTTTGGAAGGTTATCTTTTTTATATTTTATTTTTTCCTTGTTCGTGCTGTCATGTCACTTCAGAATTCCCAAAAGTAGATAGACATAAATTTTGATTTTTTTTTTTCGTTGTGCACAAGAGGAGACAAGTGTCGGTCACGTGATAAATATGATAAGAAAGATGCCTTTCCGTGCTTGATCGTCTTCAAGTTTTTAAGATCGGAAGTTTCAAAGAAATATTCTATTTATTATTTAATTTTAACGAAAAATTATATTTTTATATATTTTTAAAATTAATATATTTGTATTTATCATTTTTTATTAAAACTAAAAAAAATTTGAACTTTTTGCTAGTTTTCTTTTTTCAATTTCTTTTTATGCAAGCGCCATAAAAACAAAGGAAAGTCAGGAATTCCAAAAGGGTTTAAGCAAAAGGAAATGCTACTTTTTATTAGTTTTATTTTTATTTTTATTTTTAGTATAATATTTTATAATATTAATAAAAACGTTAACTTAAGTTTTTCGTTCTCACGGCGAATATTGAGATTTTGACTTTCCAATTCTTTCAACAATGCAAATATAATCATGCACCTCTGGAAAGTGTAATTTTTCATTTATATTTTTACAAGAAAGTAAACAAATCTATTTCTTAAAAATAGTCAATATAGTTGTCCAAGCTTTCTTCATAGTCCAAACTTGCTATTAATCTTTCAATCAAATCTCTCAACATATCATGTAATTTAAAGATAATGTTTAACACATCATCATTGCATATGAGTAATTTTTATGGTCACATGATGTACAATTTCACAATATTATAATATTGTGAGATATAATTGGTGATGTAAAATTTCAACCTTGTTCGACTTAACCGGAGATCGAAAATTGCTCCTTACATATCCATAAGCCTCCCAAACCCACCAACCGGTCAAGCCCTCCAAAAACACAGTTGGATCTTATCACATTAAAGGTGGGTATAATTCCAATACGTACTTTGACTAATTATTCAATTAGCCATTTCGATTTGTTACAACATGTTCCGAATCTTGTTATATATTTATGAAGATTTAATTCCTCAAGACATTCATGTCTTTTTTCCTGATTAATAAAATCGCTTATTATCTTGGTTATGTTAACCAAATTGTATTAATTAATTATTTGTATAATCTTCCTCTAGAAAAAGGTAGGTTATCCATTCATTGCGTTTCGCCAAAAACACATCTACAAAACATGTCAACAACATCGTCTCGCAATACAGAAACACGACTCGATACATCAAATGTGATATAACATTTGGTGTATTGAATGTAGGTGCTACCATTGTACAGCACTCTGATGCCAAATTAACTTTGAAAAATATAATTATTGCAAGTAAAAGCAGACTAGATTTGTACTGGACCAAAATTCTAATATATAATTACTGCAAGCACCGACCACACACGAAGGGATAGATCTTGTTCACGATTTTCATTACATGATAATATAGATTATAAAAGCTTGTAGCCAAGAGGAACCTACGTGCAACCGAGACATCAAGATGGTGGTATCTCAAGCCTATCACATACCGCCACGTGTTTCAACTTGCCAACATGTCAACATCGCCTGCTTGGTTTGGGATACCACCACCTTAGCGTCTCAGTTCCACGTAAGTTCATCGCTTTGTACAGTAGTAAGTACATGGTGCATTAACTAGAACAAAATGAGCTCCTTCACTTGTATGATACGCTAGCAAACTAACAAAATAGCAAAAGAGAATACGCATTTCATGGCACGCCTGCCCCAGCTATGCTTTAACTTACAAGTTACTTCTTTCATCTAAGAGCCAGATTCCTACAGCACCACCATTGGGGGGCAGTGAACCAAATAGGCGCCCAACAGTCTGTATTGCCACGGAACCGAAAATTCTCTTGATTGTCGTCGCCAAGCTTGAACACACCCCAATCCCTTCTGTCTGGGTCAAAACGAGCTGGAATTCCATAAAGATGACTAGAATCCCATTCATTCCACCACGGCGCAGCATGATCATTAGAGAAGTAGATACGGTTTGTCATTGGAACACCAAGTTCACCTGAAGAAACAGATCGCGAACAACATTTTCCTAGAAATAGTACTTGATCCCCCAAATCATGTACCCTCTTCCATGCCATCTGGCTGAAATCCAGCTTATATACTTTGAAATCGCGTGTTTCAAGAATAGCATTGGGTTTGGTGCTGTAAAACCTACAAACAAGGAGAAGCTCTCCACAAGATTCCACAAGGTACTTCAGCACAGTGTAACTTTCCTGCTCGTCTTCCTGCTCCTCGGACATTTTTACTTCATGGCAACCTGTTTCTATCTCACAATCATCATCTGTTCTGATGGCAGCAAGCACATCAGTAACCTTGATCTGTGAAATGTTATAATCACTGCTTAGAAGATAGAAACTTCCATCCGAGAAGACAGCATCCTCAAACGGTTCACCATCTAGCTTATGTTTAAGCCATGATTGAGCTCCATGGACCCAAAATGCAAGCTCCCGGTGTTGACCATGGACGAGCATGCAAACAAAGTTTTCAACAGAGGGAAGTGCTGAGAGAACCATCTTGTGATAAAAATTCCATGTTTTCGGAAGATCAGTTTTCTTCCCAGAGAATGGATTCAACAAGCTAATCTCAAGGTTGAAACAATCGACATCTTTCACTAGAATCAACCAATCTTGATATGATCCCCAACAGTATCTTCCAATAGCCTGATGAAGCACCATCTCCCAATCTTGATTCTGTAATATGCTAAGACAAGTCCTTACATGTCTGTCTTTCTGGCCACACATCATGAGCCACGGGACACCACGCCTTTGCCAACAAGACAGTTCCTGTCCAATAACATTGCTCCAAGCTCTGCAAACATCACTAACAGAGATACAATCAATCAGAGGCAGTCGCTCAAAGATAATCTCAAGTATACTCTGTGGCAGCTCTGCCCAATCCACATTCATAAGCTTCTCCTTCTTCCGCCTTTTATTTCTCCTTCGACCCATCATGCAGCTCTATGACTCTACAGATAGCAAATAATAGTGCAAATACAACATCAAAAAAGTGTAATAATTACAGCAATAATCTGATGAAACACAAACTCCTTTAAAAAAGCCAAGTACGGAAACAAAATTTTTACGTCAATAGTATAAGCTTAATTCAACAGTCAAAATGATCAGACAACTAAAAAGATTGACATAATTTAAGGGGTGAACATGATCCCCAATCAGTGCAGAAGGATAATAAACTGCATGCCATATTTTGTTTATTCTCAGGAGTACACAGGATTGTCATCTAGCATTTACGTAGCAGCACCTTGAAATAAACATAACATTCAAATTCGATGTATAACAGTCGTGGATAGAAAAATCATATATTTTGTGAAGTAAAATAACTCCCTTACTACCTTGTAACATGCCATCTTATCAGTTCAAAATCAAATTGGAAAAAACTTTCTAGATAATCTTTAAAGCTTTAAAGGTAAATCTCCAAAGTTGGGATGCCATGTTTGACTACAGTGGCAGTAATTGTTCCTCGGAGTCTAGCACTTGACGCAAACAAATAAAATGATTGCCGAAACAAATAAAAGCACGGACACTGAGACACACAAACAATCAAAACCTGAATTGAATTGCAATAACCAAATGATTGCCTAGACATAATATCGTTAAAAGTCTCAACTCCAAGAGAATGCAAGCCCAATAAGTGATCTCTGCAAGAAGGATACCGTATATTATCAACATTCTCAATTTCTTAGTTAAACCCACGAATACGAAGATTATCTTTTACTACGATTCCACAAGCAAATAGCCATTACAATCAAACTGCGTTCGCCGTTTTAACCAACAAAGAATCGTTCCTATGAGTTCAAAAAATTGCAAAAAAGGGCATGAATCCATGATCAATCACAGAAACAAGTGCTCCGATCAAAAACCCTTATAATAAAGTTGGAGGCTTTTTAGGTGTTAAGTGCATTTTACTTAATACCCAGTTCTTGCATGCAACAATTAAAAGCTATATTAACTCCCTAATCAGTTCCTAACCCACCAAATCATTCCAGTTTTCACAATCACAAAATATCCTCCTTCCTTCAAAGCACACAGATATATACATATATACATATAGTTTTCTGGCATCCAGTAAATGCATTAGCCTCTAGTAATTTCGGAGAAAAGGAACCAAAATTTCACCAAAAACAAAAAAGGAAAGAAAATAATGACTGAAGTGTGACAAGTAAAAAGAAGGGAGAATCCACTTTACCAAACGACGCCCAGGCGTCGGACACGAACGGATAAAACCAGAAGGAAAGTTGCATGCACAGGTTTTTAAAGGAATAAAACGGTAGTCGTTCAGCGGAAACTCACCGGAGCGGAAGGATCCACCAAGCAAGCGGAGGAGCTGCTTCAGCTGAAAGAAGTCTCTGGAAGAAATTGGAAAACACCGGTTCGTCTCCTTCCAATCAAAACGGTGGCGTAAGGGTTGATTCCTCGTTGAATCAAATATTGTCTGGGTCGGGTTAGGCCCAATTTGGGTCTCTAAAACGAGTCATGTATCAGTCCAGCTTAGCCCGTCTACTTGTCAGTTTTTTGTTGGTGGCCCAGCTTACTTTCAAACCAACGAAAAAGCCCATTTTACTCTCTTTATTTAAGGTAAAATAGAAAAATAATTTAGGGAGAATATTTTTATTTGGTCAAAAATTTAGGGAGAAATTAAATATATGCACTCTTGAATTTATGACTTTCTTCCATTTTGACCTTTTGCTTTCAATTTGGCTTTGGGTCTTCTACTTTTCAAAACGTGCTAATTTATCATCGATTGTCAATGTTATCACACTTTTTGTAGTTTTCTTCAGTTGAACATATGAAAATAACTCGTAATTTAAGACATAGGCAAAACGACACGATGTAGAATAACTAAATTGAAAGTTTAAGGTGTCGCTTAGTAGTATGATGTGACTTAGCTCAAATTTTATCGTATTTAGTATAATACGTATAAAATGTAAATTTAAAATTGAAAGTGCAAATTAAAATAAGGGGCTAAGTTCAAAGAGATTTTTTAATGTATTTGGAACACGGAGTAAAACACCACTTGTTATTGTATAACTAGAAGGACATTTGAAAAGAAAAAAAAATAAAAAAATTCTCCAATTATATAACAACATGTCGTGTCCAGCCCCAAATTCAAAGTGCAAATTGAAATATGGGGCAAAGTTCATTGCCGTAAGCTTAGAGTTTCCAAAAACATCAATTTCCACTTGCTAGTTGGCGTCTATTTTCAGTAGAAAATTCCACTTCCCCACTTGGACGAAGGTCCATTTTTAGACCTTGACAGAGATAAAAGTTGGGCCAAAATGCATGGACACCAGACCTTTGAAGAAACACAGGCACGTCAAGAGTAAGAGGTACAACATCAAACCTTGAATCTTTGATTGCCTTTTTAGTTGTCTTCTTTATTCCAAATGGCCGGTTTGAATGGGGCGGGTCCTTTAAGGGAAAGAGGAAAATAATAATTAGTTGTAGGACTCATTTTACATAGAATTTTAATGATCTGAACTGTTTATTTTGTAAGTCTCGATTCATAAATCATCATTGAAAATTTTTAATTTAAACCAAAACCATTTGACTATTTAATAATCACAATGAAATTTAAAAAATAAACGGTTCGAATTATTGAAGTTCGATGTGGTCTGAATCACACAACTAATCTCCATTGTAAAAAAAAAAAAAAGGGAATGCCTTTCCTTAAAGATATTCTTTTTATTCTCTTCTATTTTCCCAAAAGCTTCGACGGGAACTAATATCACACATTATCTAAACTAGTTAGTGCTGCGAGAAAAACTTGTGTAAAAATATTTGGTTACGTTATTCGTAGAATATATTTTATAAATCATGGAACATCATGTATTTTAATTTCATTTAAGAGTTCGCTTGGATGTGTTTTTAAACTAATTGAAAGAGCTTTTAGTGAAAATATTTTAAGAACCAATTTTAAGTAAAAATGAAAGTAAATATTGAAAAAGCACTTAAAATGCTTATTAGAAGAAACACATAACTGATGCTTCTTACAGAAAGCATTTCAAATGCTTTTGGAACCCAAAAATATTTTTTTCTAAAAACATTTTTAGTCGTCTTAAAAGCACATACAAACTAACCCTAAATCTTTGGATCTGTACTTTATTTAATAATTGTTCCTGTTCAGCGCTACCAAATATTTTCTCAGAAATTAAATATTAAAACTTCATGTCAAACATCTACATTCGTATTGCCGACAATTTTGGTCTTGTACTTCAAGAAGTTTTATATTATAGCATAGCTTTTTCACGGTCAAGATAACATACTATAATATATTATTAAGAGGAGGGTTAAGATTGGATATTATTATAATAATTTAATAATCGGAAAGTTTGAAACTATTACAATAACTTAGAAAATATGGGGTTTTAAATTCGGAACACATGTGTTGAAACCCAACACCAATTATTTAGACCAAATATGCAAAACATGTTATAGTCACCGATATAAAATAAGCACGTTAATCAATATTTAAGTAATAATTCAATCATTAGCATCCACATCATATGTTTTACAAAATTTAGTCTAAATAGTTAGTTTCATTCACTAAAATATTGGACAACGTGCTTAAAAAAAAACTCATATTTATAAAGTGGACCTCACAAAAACTAAAATAGACGATTTAAACTATTAAAATATACAAAGTAGACCTCACAAAAAAATTGATGCCACCAATCCGCTCTTATATATATTACACTAATTTTCACAAGCTTCCAAATTATCGGTTTTTTTTTTATTTTTTTATTTTTTAAGTATTCTTGAATGTATTACTCATCGGATGACAAAAAATTGACCATAGTAATGGTGACAATGATTTTTCAGTCCTCTGAAAACGCATTTGTACCAGGTGATTGTTTACTCTTATGCACATGAATAGAAACCGCATGCATCATGTGACAGTTGTATATATGTGTGGTACATATATGACCAAGTCTTTTTTGCTTTGGTCGCCAGTTGCTACTTTTGCCGTTAATATGAAGATACTATTTAGATATGCACTAGGTCTACTTTTTTTTCTTGATAAAATGAGGAGAGAGAATTCTCGTCCGACTCCAATAATCCTCATCATAAGTTACTGTTTCAAAATGTAATGACTTTTTCTTTGAAAAACATATGAGGGTAATTATTATTCCCAATTGAAAGTAAAAGCTTTTGATCTTATGGAGAAAGAATTGAGATTTTTTTAGAATTTTAGTGTCTAGAGCCTAAGAATCAAGAAATTTGAGCCGCTTTTGTGAAAGAGAAATCGAAGTCTTTAGTTTGTGTGAGGTGGATCATCAGAATAAGTTAATGGGGACAGTCCAATTCAATTTGAGTAGCTCGAATTGCCTAATACTTAAGCTCCGTGGAGAAGGCATGTGAAGGTAGACGAAATTTTGACAAGACTGCTTGATATGGCAGCTCTTATATTAGCATAATCAACATGAGGTCGGGATCAGATTAAAACACAGAAAATCTCAAACGTTTATCAATAGTGTCCTACGATGAATTTCATCTATTTTACATCCGGAAGTTCTTCGATACCGTTGTTTTCCAAGGAGAATTGGAGCAAATTCATGGATTTATTTCCTCAACAGTGTCCCACGAATGATGTGATCCAGTTCTTGTACAAAAGTTTTTCCCTATATAGAGGAGGAGAGGAGTTGAATTATGAGATTGGTCAAGTTGTGCGACTTTCATAGGCCCAATTAGGCAAAAATCGGGCTTGAATTCAAGAGTCTAAGATGTGAGGCAGATTACATGAACACCCTTTCTTTAACTAAAAAACTCCCTTTCAACCGTCATACGGCACCCAAGGACAATGTTCAAGTCAAACCTGTCCTCCTTCATAAATAATACAACTCAAAACTACTCTTTAATTATACTCGTTAACTCTCTCTCTCTCTCCCACTCTCTCTGCATATTAAATTATCACCTCCACAGTTTCTGCCACAAAATTCCCAAATGAATCAAAACCTCTGCCTCTTCATCCTGATCTTCCTTCTCTCAGAAGCCCCAGTATTTGCAGCGGACTTTTACTACCAAAACTGCAGCGTCCCGATAACTTGTGGCCGCCAAAAAATCAGCTACCCGTTCTACATCCAAGGCAGGCAACAAGACTTCTGCGGCTACCCTGGTTTCCAGCTCTCCTGCCAGGGCGGCGCAGACGACGATGAAGAAGAAGCCTACCCACTTCTCCGGTTGCCTGGAGACGATTACATAATTCACAACATCAGTTACGAAAGCCAGACTCTTGTCGTCTCAAATGCTTTACTTTCGCACTACTTGGACAACTCTTCCTGCGCTAATCTCTCACTGATCCATAATTTAACGATCCCTAATGAACAGTTTGAGCTGGCTCCAAAGCAAGATCAGTTCTTTCTGCTCTACAACTGCAACCCTTCGTTTGTCGATTCTTTTCCAAAGTACAAGATTGGTTGTAATAACACTTCGGTTCTTGCTCTGCCTGGGCAGATATATCCGAAATTTGGAGGTCTTGTGGAGGTTGAAAAGTGTGGATCGAGTGAGGTGGCGGTGGTGCATGGTGGAGGGTATGGGAATGATGAGGCGGCGGGAATGAAGGAAGTGTTGGGAAGAGGGTTTGAGATGAAATGGCTGGCTGCTGACTGCAGCCGCTGCCAGGGGAGTGGAGGGCTATGTGGGTTTAACTACACCACCCGCCATTTTAGGTGCCTCTGCCCCAATAGGACCCATTCTGTGAGATGCAAGAAGGATGACGAAGGTTAGTCTCTCTCTCTCTGTTCACTCTTTTTTTCTCTCTTTTTTACATGAAATGTGATTGTTAGATAATTACCACGCAGCATACATGATTTAGGCTAGTTCATTAACACATATATTGCTTTGTTACACTTGAATTCAAATTCACCTTTGTAGATTAGAGTAGTTTAGAATATCGTTTAATTTCAAAACGAAGATTTCTGGTACGGGATCATTGTCCCACTTACTCAACTCTCCTGTGCAAATAGTTGAAAAATCGCATCCAGTCTAGCTCCTACCATACATTAGATTTCAAAGGAAAAAAGGGCGGCTGCTGGCTGGACGGCTGAATATAGCCACCTCTAATCAAATACTAACGAAGAAGATCGTCCGTAAAGTCAAGTCTGAACCTCTACATCGTCACGATTTAACGTGAAAAATATCCTTCACGATTACTTGTGATGAAAACTATATGAGATGCAAACAATAGGTATGACCCCAAATTAAAAATGCTTTCTTCATGGGATATTTGTTAGCTCTAAGTAATTCTTTAGTCGCATAATCTTCCAGGATAAGATAATTTATTAGGGTTTTAGAACCAGGTTGTTGATTACTACTCAGTCTGCAAGTCAACATAAACTTTGATTCATGAACAATGTCTTAATTCACGAACAAGTTAATAACGACATCATTATGTGTAAACAAAAAGGATTAACATAATGAAATGAGAACGCTAAGATGACGGTATTCCGAACCAATAGTACCATATCATGCATAAAACGTAAAATACGGTATTCCGAACCAAAAGTACCATATCATGCATAAAACGTAAAATACATAGCGTCGTGTAGTTGGTCTAGGATGCTGCGGTAAAAGGATGTAAGTAAATCCTAACAAGTTTAGACGCTCTAGTTGTAGTCACATTGAATAGCAATCCAACTAGAAATCTGCTGGTTGTCGGTAATTTCTTTCCTCAACAGCCATTGTTGACTGAAACCTACCACTCTGCCAGTTGTTTGTTGCCACTGCCTCTGTCGTTGGAGATGATCAGTGTTCATCTTAATCCCACCCTCCAGAACTTGAAACATCATATTATCATCATTGTTCTGGAGACAAAATGTACCCAATAAACGCGTGGAAGCCGCATTAGGTTTGGCCAACTAGTGTGATTTGTGGTTGCACTTTCAGCCCATAAATTTTGGCCACGGAGGTCGCTAGAGTCGTAGAGCATTGCGTTTTGTGAGTGCAACACTTGACCCAACGTGCGCACTGTGCATTCTGATGCTGCACCAGTAGTCCAATACTACTGGATTGTCAAGTCGGATATGACTTGGCCAAAACAACTAAACCAGTTGTGTTACTATTAATCGTTTTAGTCTATCAGGCTTATGCTATGTATAAGCTATGCCTTGATTCAGTAAATCAACCTAAGGCACGCAAGCACTTGTAGTTCACGATTTTGAACTGAAGCTCTCGTTTCGTGGTTAAGATTGGATTTGGTTAATTACAATTCAATGTGTATTCAATAAAGGGATGGACGTCAATTTTCAAATTGCATCCAATTTGATAGCAGAAGTTGGATTTTTTTTTTTTTTATTGAAATGATAGTGGATTTCATTGAATGGGTATTGTAGTAAAAGGGCGGCAATAGCTAACTTAATGTGAATTACAGTCCTCAAACATTAAATTTAGAATAAAGATCGGAAGAGAGTCCAACCAAGCACAAGGGGATTTGACGTATGACCGTACCGAGCAAGGCGATGGGCTACTTCGTTAGCTAGGCGGCAGACTTGGGTACATCTAACCTTAGAGCAACTCCATTGGTGCTCGAACTGCCCAGTATGTGGGTTGAATATCCCCCAACCTAAAAAATTCATCTTCGCTGGTCCAAACTCATTGAGGCAATTGGAGCATGGGTAGCAACTAGTTGGGCTTCCCTGCCAATTCAAGCCCGGGCTGCGTCTGCAGGCAGTGGCCTACGTCATAGATGATGTCATGCAGTTGACAGATTGGGTCCACCCACCATGCCAAAGGCCTCGCCCTCTGTCGTTGGATTTATATCGGTCTTCTCATCTAGACCGTTGGATTTCCAACGTTAAACAAATGAAAATTATAGGTTGTGTCACGTGGCACAATCTGGTGTATCTGATTTTTTTTTTTAAAAAAAAAAAAATTGGAAATCAACAACTATAATTAATCCAGAGGTAGAAAAAATTAACAAAAAATTCCAAAAGAATTGCAAATCTTTGTATTTAAAATTCAATTGCAAGTGGTCATTTATTACAGTGGTGGAAAGAAGTTGAGTCATTGCATGACGGCGTGACTTCGAATCTTGTTGGTTGCTAACCTAACATATAATTTTATTTTAACAAGCGATATTATCTACAGTAAGAGAGTGTTCCTTTTTATTTGTAAGACATCTCACTTACAAATAAAAATGAACTGTAGATAAATATGGAGTTTTACTATTTTAGTCGAAAATTTACGTTTGTGAACAGTAAACGGTGGATTTGCTCTTAGTGATCAATGGAAGCTACCATTTCATATCCTCCACAAGTTAGTCCAATTGGAGATGAACTGGGCAGAGGAAATTCAAAGCCCCAAAATCCAAAAATCAGTTTGCTTTAAAGCTAAAATCCTGCCGTTGATTCCTTTCTAAGTTCCGCTAATCCATGTTCGCACGAAGGCAAGGATAAAACTTACGATCATAATCTCCGTATATCGAAGAAATCACAGGCAAGAGACTAAGACGCATGAAGACTCAACGCGCTTTTCGGATTCAACACTCTTGAAGAATGGATGAAAGACAGAGTAGATAACAAAACCCAGAAAGTCGTGGTTGCTTCCGTAGCCAGTGCGCCAACCATCAAGACTAACACCACAAGTCTTCGGGAAGGTATTATGGATACGTTTTTCTCTCTTGTCCCGTCTCCTACTTACACCATCAAGACCGCTAAAGAAAACGACAGCCACAAACGACCAAATTTGTCTTGATGTTTTACTAAATTAAATTCCAACGTCAGAACTAGGATATACTTTTCAGCTATGGATCCATTCAGCGTTCACACGAATAAGTAGACCCGAAAGTCAGACGGGCCGGACACGAAAGATCAATCACGTTTCACGGAGCTACGAGTGAACACTGAACAGTCGATTCTTTCCGTAATATGTGTGGTTCAGAGGAGTTTTGAGGATTTTTGAATAGTATCATCGTGACGAGAATGGTTGAAGAGTCGAGGGGTCAAAGTCTTTCTGGTGCTGGTCATTGGGGAAGTTGGGAAGGAAACTCCCTAATAGGCCACGGAAGTCTTTAAGCCGACCAATCAAACTGTGTATCCAGCAACTTTTTTACATCTTAGTTTCCACAAGTCTTCCGTCTCCTAATTTCCAAGTCAACTGGCGTGTTAAACAGCCAATTTCCTTAATATATTGCAAACAAAGAATTCTGAACCTCTAAACAATTCAACACTCTTGTTCTGAAGAGGAGGAGTAGATTTTCTTATTGTTCTTCCTTTGCGGCGCTTTCTTCTTGTTGATCAGCTGGGAATCTTCGGATGGCTCCGGTGGCTTTGTTCATTCTCTCCGTTCTTGCTCACCTTGTGGTTCAGCACTCTGCTGAATATTCAGAAGCGGAACTCTCCAAACGTTGTCCAGGCCACTCCTGCAGTGACATGGTAGGGAACATCATCTTCCCCTTCAAAAGCCGGGGAGATCATCCTGAATGCGGATTGTTCACAGTTGATTGTTCAAAACCCGATTTGCCAAAAATCCAATTGAAAGAGGGAGGATACTGGTATGAATTCCAAGGCTATTTATTTTCACCTTCGATTTCTATCAAAGACAGAGAACTTGCCGACCGCTTAGAAAAGGATCGCTGCGATGATAGAGTTTTGGACGCCTTGAGTCTTCCCAACATTTCTTCAATCCCTGAAGTATCATTATCCACACCCAATCTTACCCTTCTCAAATGGAAAAACATCTTGGACAAAAATTCTTGTCCACAACCCAAGGATTGCTGCAGAAATGCTTACCATACTTATTATATCAATTCATCTAACAGTAATTTACCTAACCCTCTGCCACCAAGGTTTGAAACCATTCAGGTCCCCATGCGTCTGTCGCAACCCAACATGTCCTCTTCATTGACAGCTGAGTTTTCCCTCAAAGTGGAAGCACACAAATGTTATCAATGTATGGCAAGCAAAGGTGAATGCCTGGTTCTAGAGGGAAAATTTAAATGCGCCAAAGGTATATACATTTACTTGACCTTTCTTTCTTTCTCTGATGTGCGATAATCCGATTCCTTTCTTCAAAGGATATAACTCTTAGAAACAGGAAACAGTTCATTGAAACACACAAGTATTAAATGATTGTTATGTATGCATTAGCCTCCTTTTTTTTTTAAATGGTAACATTATTTATGCCACTTTCATCTTCTAAGATTTAGCTAACAGCAGTTTTCTTTGCAATTCATGTTGCAGGGGATAAGCAGTTGAATTTGAAGCTAGGACTAGGTAAGATTGATATCTCTGCATTTAAATATATAATTGATATGGATACTCATCTAGGTCAAGCGTTAGAACCAAAGGACGGAAACCAATCACTCCCTAATGCCTCTGGATTAAATTTTCTAAGAATCATGGAATGAGCAAGCGTTTAAACACGTTGGCAAAGTCAATTGTTTGCTCTCCGTAATATACCTTCGATCAAATTTAACTCTCCCTTAAGCACCCGCAGTATAAACTACATTTTAACTGTCTTGCTCACTTGTATTCTGTAGGAATTGGCCTTGGATTTCCAGCACTTCTTGCAATATGCGGGTTTCTTCTGTTGCTTTACAAGAAAAAACGCTCTTCACTCTTCCTCTCAAGGAACATTTCTTCTCAGCCATACACAAATTCCGACATAGAAGGGGGCGGCGCCTACTGTGGTGTCCCGGTCTTCAGCTACAGTGAACTCGATGAGGCCACAAACCACTTTGATAGCGAAAACGAACTTGGAGATGGAGGTTTTGGAACTGTCTACTATGGTAAGAGCTAATCTTCTATGTATGTGTTAATTTCCGAAAAAATGAAAGAAATCATTTACATTAGGCAAGTAAAGAGGAAGTTAAGTTGCATAGTATCTGCAGCAGCTTACTCTTTGATCAATCCGATATAGGAAAACTCAAAGATGGTCGGGAAGTTGCAGTCAAGCGCTTATATGAGCACAATTACAAACGCGTTGAACAGTTCCTCAATGAAATTGAAATCCTCACCGGTCTGCGCCACAGAAACTTAGTCACCCTTTATGGCTGCACCTCACGCCGCAGCCGTGGACTCCTCCTTGTCTACGAATACATTTCCAATGGAACCGTTGCTGATCATCTCCACGGAGACAGAGCAGACCCTGGCTCGCTAACTTGGCCTATACGTATGAGCATCGCCATAGAAACCGCCAACGCATTGTCCTACCTCCATGCTTCTGAAATTGTACATCGCGATGTGAAGACTAATAACATTCTGCTCGATGACAATTTCTGCGTTAAAGTTGCAGATTTTGGGCTCTCCCGGCTCTTCCCCTTGGATGTCACGCATGTCTCAACCGCTCCACAAGGGACACCGGGTTACGTTGATCCAGAGTATCACGAGTGTTACCAGCTAACTAGCAAGAGTGACGTTTATAGTTTTGGAGTTGTTCTCGTCGAGCTCATATCATCTCTTCCGGCAGTTGATATAATGAGGCACAGGCACGAAATTAATCTGGCTAACTTAGCCATAAGCAAAATTCAGAAAGGTTTGTTCAACGAGTTGGTAGATCAACGTCTCGGGTTCGAATCCGATGGTGAAGTTAGAAGGATGATCATTGCAGTTGCAGAGTTGGCTTTTCAATGCTTGCAGCAGGACAACAATGTGAGGCCTACCATGAATGAGGTTTTGGAGGCTTTGAAAATGATCGAAAGCGGGAGTTATGTCCCTGAGAATTTAAAGCCGGAACTGGACGGTCAGAGTGTGAAAACGAGTGTACAGCCGCCAGCTTCGCCAGATGGTGATGAGATCGGGCTGTTGAACATGAGACCTCCGCATTCGCCGGTTTCCGTCACGCAAAAATGGCCTAGCACTAGGTCTACTTCACCTAATGCTAGTGCGTGACAGTTCCTTTTTGTGGGTGTTACATTTCAGTATAAAGAATATATATGAATGCATTTCAGATTTGATTAGGTGGGTGGAGGTTTATTTGCCACTCATCTCCTTGCTTTGTTAAAACGGTGAACTCAAGCCAATAACGCCCCCGTTTTGCAAGGGTTGAGAGGGAAGAAAATCTATCGTACACAACTTTAACCTTTCCTTGCAAAGAGGTTGTTTCTACGACTCGAACTTATGATGTTTTGATCATAAAAAGGCAACATTTTCGTTGTACAAGGCTCGCCATCATTGAAAAACACATCTAATTAGTACTGCTAGGTAAAAGCTTGAGGGATTTGTACATATTATATGGAGACATTGTTATTGATATTTTACATGTATAGTTTTGATCCTGTATCGTTTTGGCTCTTCATACTTGTTTGATGTCTCTGTCTTGTTTCTTTTATTATTTTCTGCTTCTTCTGATATTGTTTATTAACCAAGTTTGGATTGTATGACATGATCAAACACCTTCTTTACAAGAAAATAAAACCGACATAAACGACAAAAGGTTTTACATTTATAGAATTCTAAATTACTCTAATTTATTTAAAAAGAGTTCAAACTTGAGTATTCTGGCCTATACAATGTCTGTAACCATGTTAAAATATTAGAACTACTATTTCATCAATCATTTATAATAAAATAACACTTCTAAAATTGAAATTTTCAGATTTTTTTTTTCGGGAAATTTGTTTGGTAAAAAGGAATCACATTGTGGTGGTGAGGGTAAGGGTAATGACAACATTGTTCGTTCTTGTTCAAGAACCTAGTGTGCAGGCTACAGCCTAGAAATTTGAATTAGAACTGCGGGCCACCTAACTTGCCGGCTAGTTAGATGGTGTGTGTGTGTGTAACACACTGACATGATTTTAATTTTCTTATATGATAAAGTTTGCTAGTAATATAGTTACAGTGTCTTTGCCAATGAATCAGGATCCTCTTTTAAGATTACGAGCTGAGCCTCCTGAGCAAATTACATAGATCATTGATTTTTCATCTAACGGCTACAAATAGAAAATCTTTTTAAAAATTATAATAATTATAGCCGTTAAATTAAAAATCAACGATCTGTATGATTTGCTCAGGAGGCTCAACTTCTTAAGTTGAGAAGAGGATCCTGATCCTTTACCAATCTCCCATTGTCTGACCTTTCAATCTTCTTCAGTCAAAGTATGAGGTGGTGTCGCCTCTTTTTCAGAACCCTATGTAGAATTTAGATTTTGGATTCAGCACCTTTGGAATTTCACTTGGAAAAGGCACCCACTTTCTCTCGCTTTTTTGAATTTGTGAAAAAAGAGAAAATTACCAATCATTATTTGGTCTAATTTATTATTGAGAGATTTATTATTGAATCAGAACACGAGAGGTTAGATTCTATATTATTTTATAATTAAAAAAAGTTTATAATTCAAATATTTATCTAATTGTGTAATGATATGTGTTGTATCGTCATGTGTTTTGGATAAAAAAATTTATCTAACTTATTGAGAAAAATACTAAGAAAACCATCCCTAAACTTGCTGCCACCTTACTTTTTAACATAATATTTTATAATTTTGACATGAAATTAACGTTAAACGTTTTAGAGATGCCATGAAAAGTCTCATCTAAAATTAGAGAGTGTACTTAGCATTAATAAAAAAAAAAAGTGTGTATATAAAAGATGCATCCACTTCCCATCATATCCTTTTCTCCATTTCACAAGCAATCAATTGTGTCTCAGTCTCTCCCCTGCAATCATTCTCCAATTTAAATTCAAATATTCACCCCAAAATTTACATGTATATATTGAGAGAGAGGAATGGGAGTTAGCAGCAGCAACAGACCTCAAATCCAGAAGATGGGGACTTTACAGAAATTCAAGCTCCTCGCCACGCAGTGCGGCGTGGCCCAGAGCCCGACGCGAAGCCCGCGGACGAGCCCGTTGATCCAGTTCCGCCGCCGCAAACCCACCTTGCTGATGCTCCTGACCCGGAGCAGCAGTCGCCGCAGTGACCCGCCGGTTCCGATGCCGCTACCGGAGAATATTCCGGCCCAGAGGAACAGTCTGAAGGACCTGTTCGTGTCGTCGCCGCCATTTGAGTTGAACGACGGGGGGAAGGCGGAGAGTGAGAGAGATAAGCGGGCAGAGTTGGGTAGTTTGTTGATAGGTAAAGAAATTGGTGGAGTTGGACCGGGCTCCCCTAGGCCGGCCTGGACCGGTTTTCGTTACAAGTCGTTACTGAGAAGGGCTTGGCGCCCTGTGCTCGTCACTATTCCCGAGTAAATTAATTAAATAATTTAATCTTCATAAAATATTATTAGAGTATTTTTTGTATGTTATGTGATCGGCCATCTCTCATGATATACCGATACAAATCGATCTTGTATTGCATTGTATAATTTGTAGCTACCGGCATTGGACTCGCAGTTACAAGCATTATCATACATTCGACTTTATGATTTCGTTTCAATTCTCATTTTTTTCGTGTCGTTATCGTTTGTATTAAAAAATATTTAAACTTGTGAGAAACTGAAACCTCTCGCAATATAGGCAAAAGAAATAGAGCTAATTGAATAGATACAACTTCCGAAATGAAGATGTCGTAACAAGAATTGGAGGGATCCACCGAAGACGATCCTTCCCTTGTTTCGAAAGAAAAAGAGGTTCTGGACAAAATCGATGAAATTTCATTCATTCGTGACCATGCACGCCATTACCATTATTTCGAGGTTCTTTTCTAAAGTTAAAGTGGCTAAAGAGGCCCAGGACCATGAATGTTGGGAGAACAGTTTACACTACACATGCTAAAGCAACTCTTCCCTTTGGGGAAAAAAAAAGTTACAAAGAAGGGCTCGATGATTTCGAAGGGACTTTTTTCATCTATTTTGTTATTTAATTCAATTATTACAGAAAAATTTCTTGCAATCAAAAGGTAAATTCATAAAAAGGGTGGAGTCCTTCCATGTCTTGCCGCTAGCGGCTCTTTGGTTCCAAGAGGAATTGGAGTCTGATTTGTTTGGGCTTGTGATTGCCGCAACGCAGAGTCGTTCCCCTCTCTCTCGGTACCTCCATTTCCCTGCTGAGGTTCGGCATGGCCAACAGACTTAGGGTGGCCTTCTGAATGCTCGTTTTCTGGAAGTACAACCCTCCGCAAGAACCTATCTATCATCTCGTAACTGGTAAATGTAATAACGGCAGAAGGAGTGGTTCTTATTAGATTAGTAGCACAACCATTATAGAATCCACGAAGGCCTTCCTTTTGGAACACCTTCTTTATGCAGTCAATTACTCCTGCATACTGGGTTCCAATGTGTCTGGCCTGCCCTTGCTCTTGCAGCCTCGAGCGCACAACCTGGAGATAATTGATTCAGTCAGGACGACAAAATAAAATATGAAATAGTAAGAGCAGTCGTCCAAGCCCCAGTCCGTTTACTGAGAAGTCCAGCTGAACATACCTCGTGAGGGTATGTTATTACAGAAGCAATTACTTTTGATACTGATGAGGCAAAGGCAACCCTACTAGGGTGTAACTTATCAACTGTTGTATTATCTGAAAAGTTAAATTTATGGGGTCAGATATAACTAATTAATTAAAAAACACTGAATTTTCAAGTTAAACAGTTCATCAAAGAAGAAAACAAATAACATTTACCCCTTTTTGCCATGAAAGACTTTATCTTTTCATAAGCAGGAAATTGAATTGCAACATGACTTACTCCAGCCAAAGAAGGCAAGATCCCACTGTTTGAAACCACACATGCAACCAAAAAGGTATCATTAAGGGAAACTACGCGAATAAATTTTATTCTAATCAATGGAGCGGACTTCCTTCACTGAATGGAAAAAAAAAAAAAATTTGATTAGTAGTAAAGCAACATCAAATATAAAATTCCCAGTTTAGTGTCGTATCCACATGATGCAACTTGGAAAGAAAAATGACCTATATAAACCTCGCAAGCCTTCCTCAGTTGTAATCCTTGAGAAAGCAGATCTCATGCTTTTGTAAGGAATCACACCAGGCCTCATTCCTTGTGTCTAAATGAAGATGATCAAGAAGAATATATCAATGTACAAAAATGACAAAATGTTCAAACTAGCAAAATTAACCAGCGCAAAGTCCTTGAATTTCTAATCCATGACGGTTGAGTTTAATCCAGAAGCTAACATGTAATTATGTGGAAGAGATTCATTAGCCTAGTTAGACATTGGTTAAGCATCAACCCAAGAATAAAATATGCCCGGAACCATAAGCACTAAAGGACCATCTCTAGCAAATATGCGTCTGCATAGTTGAACTATTACTATCTTTTATTCCCAATTTTTCATAGTTTACTCCCCTGACATCTCAAGTCGAGGACATGATAATTACAGAGAGTTTGTGTCGCTTCCCAAAAAAAAAAAAAAAAAACAACAATGTTTCCAGTCCCAGTCCAACAGAATGCCACAAAATAACAGTCATTGTGAATGGCTCCGAGCTATCCAATGTGCTACAGAAAGCAATAAAATGAAAATCTTAAATGAATTACAAACATAAAAACAGTAAACTTACTTGAAGTCTGGTCTTAACAACCCACAATGGATTTGTTGAAATGGCTGTGGCTGCCCCGGCACCAGCAGCAGCAATCATATTTTCACCGATTGTGAGTTCTCCGCTGCCATGAACTACAGAATGACCATAGTGAATGTTTAAAAACTAACTGAATACTATTATATATTACCCAATGCTCTAAACTAAACAAAGAATATGGGAATACTATGCATTTCACAAGAAATAATTAGAGACAAACAAAAACTTTTAAGTAAGCCACATTTGGAAAAACCAACCATGAGAGTGGAGACGGCCTTTGAGTTGCTCATAAACTGTGAAGTACACCTGCATACGAACAGAGTACATATGGCACCAGGAAAATTATACAAGTACACAGGAAAAAAAGTTCCATATCATCTGACCAAGGGCCCCAAAATCTTTGTGAACTCAAGTTTCTACAAGATAAGGGCTCCCAAAGATATGATTCACAATATAAGGCAACAAAAGTAATACTCACTGCCCAATTTGGAAGTAGTGCTAGAATTGTAGGCGAAAGGCCCCGGTACATCCCCTTCACACCTTCCGTCTTTAATATTTTCTGTAGGCTCGTGACAATGATACTACCTGATCATAGGCCAAAAGGAAAACAAAGAAGAACAGTCATACTGATATGTATAAGTATGAAACATATATACTACAAACAAATAGATTGACTGGAAATTATCCTCGAAATGGCGATGAGCCAAATAAGAACTTTAATAAGACAAATAAGACAAACACAAAGCCACCTCAAGCCGGTTCACCAAATAACAAGAAATGTGGCATACATCTGGTCAATGCATA